CTGGTCCATCTTGGAGGTGTATCCCCTGATGGATGACAATATCTTAAACAACAGCTTGTCACTAAGGTCGTGAAGGATCTGGTTGATCGGGACCGAAAACTTAGTATACGTCTTAGGCGATGAGCCTTCTTTTGCCGGGGACCGATCCCTGCTTCTGCTTCTTGGTTTGTCTTTGTTATTAAGCGGTTTATCATCTGCCTTTTTCTAAGTCGGCTCTACGTCTTTACGCAGTTGTTTAGACGACTTCTGAGAGCGCTTCACTTCATCCTAAAGAGAGTGCTTTTCTGCCAAAGCATAAGAATCTGCCAGGGTCAAGTTCTCGTCCATGATCAATTCTCTGAAATGTGGGTGATCTGCTGGAAGCCCTTTTCGAAAGGCTGAGCATGCAATGTTGTCATCACATCCGACGATCTTTGCATTCTTTGCCTTGAACCTCTTGACGTATGTGCAGAGTGACTCATTTAGGTTATTCTTCATGTCGAAGAAGTGGTCAAACTTCTTTTTGATCGAGTGGTAGGACGAATATTCCTTGGTGAAAACCAAGGAAAATTCGTTAAAGTTCCGGATTGAATGTCACGGCAGGGTGTTAAACCAGTCTTGCGTCTTGCCTTGGAGCGTTATGGCGAAGATCTTGCACATGAGAGTGTCGTTGTTGGTGTAGAGGGTTATGATGCTTCGATAGTGCATAAGGTGTTTGTTTGAATCTTCATCTCATTTGAACAAGGTAAAATTTGACAGGCTAAACTTCTGCGGTAGCTCTGTCTGCTTGATCTCGTCTGTAAAAGGTGACCTGCTTAGGTTGGCCATGTCTCTATGAAGGGCATCGTCGGTAGTATCAATGCGTTGGAATCCGTGCAGTTGCTCTGATATGAGCCTTTGTTCTTCCTCTTGGATTTGTGCATGGTGGGGCAACAGAGCCTCCAGCTGCTCCCGATACTGATTTACTGGTCCATATTGCTGTGCCGAGATTGCTGTGCACGTGGTTTATTCTGTACTGCTTGACGTCACGCTTGGCGGAGGCTACCTATAGAACTTGAGCTGGACTGCCATATGGCTACTTACTCCAATAGCACGCAGGAATATCTCCATGTGGGCCTAGCCTCGTGTGGACGCTTCGTCTGGACTGTCCTAAATGCTCGTCGGAGTGTGAACCTAACCTTGAATGCATACTGGCTTGTGAGCCAAGTCAGGAATGAACCATTCTCTGCGCATCTAGGTGGGAAAAGACGTTTTCCCAAGGGCCCAAATGAGAGTGCACACTACCCGAACGCACAGTTTGTGGTGGGCTGAGTAACTCTTTGCTGGGATGTTTTCGGAATGAGTCATGTTCTTCTGCCCTTGTCCTGTTCTGGGACACCTCGTCGGGGGTACGCTGCATCTCGATTCGCTCAAGGAACTGGTTCATCAAGATGGTCTACTAAACGATGGCGCTCGTCAAATTGGGACCTACTAGGGCAGGTGATACTCGCCATTTGGATTGGAAGAGTAGGGATAATGGGCGTCTCTATGTGTGGTGGAAGTGTAGTGAATTGCAGGTATAAAGCTTGAGCCCAAAGTGATCATTCCTACAGAAAAGTAGGGTGAAAATAACCCTGAGTCGATCGTGGGACCAATGGTAAGAATCTAGATCGCCAGAAATAGCCTCAGATTGGATTAGGCTGCAGACCGAGTTGTTAGAGTGGGTCATCGGGTGGGCTAACTCGACTAAGTGGCTGAGCTGTGCGTGTGCGCGCGCTGGGCTCACTCGTGTGGCGGCTGGCCTTGGGCCAGCGCTAGCTCTTCACGGATTTGGGCTCACCTGGCAGTGGGATGGGCTTAGTTGGTAGCGGCGGTGGGGCTCCTCCCGCCGTCGCTTTGAGCCTTAAGAATCGTCGTCATAGGGCTATGTCTTCATCTCCACTTTCTGGTCCAAACCGTTTGTTGTGGTTTCTGAATTTCCCATAATTGTATCATTTCTCCAGGGATTGATCAAGAAACTTTTCTAGGAAAAATTAATTGATGTAATGTTTGAGAAATTCAACGTAACAGAAAACTCAAGAAACAAACACAAGATGCTTTTTCGAGTATTTGAATCAACTCTCAACGAAAGCACCAATTTGTCGATGCAAATTTCCGCCATCTTCAGTCTTGACGAAAATATACCTACAAAACAATCAACACATTAATCAAAGACCTAAACCTCATGCGCCCACGAGGTTGGGGGGGTTAGGCCAATGGATCTCTAACGCCTAAGTCAGTTTCTCTGAGAAAGTAAAGTGTTTAGGGCTTTTTTAGGGTAGCAAAAGCTTCTGAAATTTGGTAGAATATGAGGTATATATAGGGGGAGGGTCAACCATAATGTTAAGGTTTTACCCTCTACATTGCGGCATCCTATTGGCGTTTACGGAGAAATATTCCCAAGATATTAAATATGAAAAAATATCTTGAGATAATGGAGTAATTATCCCTAATCTATTTAAATTGGGATTATTACTTGATTGAAGTCAATCTTCAATTGAGAATGTATTAAGGATAGGATTTAGGTAATTATGTAACATCCCACATTGACCAACGAAGAGGAGGTGATGTGTCTTATATGTACATGCTCATCTCCATGTAGCATGAGACCTTTTGGGAGCTCACTGGCTTCGGGTTCCATCGGAACTCCGAAGTTAAGCGAGTTTGGGCGAGAGCATTCCCATGATAGATGACCTACTAGGAAGTTCTCATATGAGTTTCTAGAAACAAAACCCTGAGGGAGTGGCTGAAGCCCAAAGCAGACAATATCATGCTACGGTGGAGTCGATACTGGGATGTGACAAATTAATCATTATCTTTAATGCTTTGACTTTTCCTTGCTAAGGGCAGGTGAGCTGTGGACAGTCGTATTCAACTGTTGAGACCTTTAGGGATGTGAACTATGCGTGGGAGTATCTGAGGAGTCTGCCCATTTATTGAGGACAATCTTGTCTTTCTTAAGTAAAAGTCCACGTGTCGCCTCCAGAATTTTTGGGATTATTTTAGGCTCCACACATGACATGTTATATGGTTTGCAAATTTAGTCTAAATTTTGGTCTACCTAGCATTACTCCTTTGCTAAACTTATCATGTTTGAATTTTGGTCTAAAACGAAATAATCTGTGAACCAATCAGTATCCTAATTTTACTCACCTCATATGTGGATCAATTATTATTATTATTATTATTTTTTAAAATCAAGTACGATATTTATTTCATAAGGAAACAAGTACAATCAAAGGGAAAGGGTGCTAATAATGGACATCACTAAAAACATTTCCGGGAAACAATCCGAATGAAGGGAAAAAGAGTGTCCCGCATCAAACTAAATTAAGAATTGAAACTATCCTCCAAAATAAGATCAGAAATTACAGCGGCAACTTCCTCAAACCAAGAAACTGGCTGTGCCAAAGTGAGACCACGCCGGTTAACCTGTGAGCCACTGCATTAACATCACGTCGCACAAAATTGGCCTTCCACTGCTGAACAGGTTGTAACAGCCTCCGTATATCAGTTAATATATGGCCAAAAGGTCCATCATTAACATCCAAGTTATTCTGAACAGCAGCAATCACCAGCAAAGTATCACCCTCCAATATCACTTTCTGACTATTCCATCGTTAAAGAAGCAGTGCAGCCTCACGAGCCGCTGCAATTTCAGCCATTAAAGCCGAAGTAATCCCCTCCATTTTTAACGCCATGGCAGCAATAAATTCCCCAGCCGCATCTCTGATAATGATTCCTACTCCTCCCTTTTTGTTTTACTCATCCAATGCCCCATCCAAATTGCACTTAATCCACCCTTCCTCCGGCTTCCTCCATTTCTGTACCTCGGCAAGCTTAGTCTTCGGTCGCACCGCGTTCCACTTTTTAAATTCCATCAACCAAGTATGTGCTTGAATTTGAATGTCTTGTGGTGGTAAAACCGAGCCCTTCCATAATAGCTCATTACGAGCTTTCCAAATGTTCCATAGCAACATAAGCACTAAGTCAAAGCACTCCATGGACATAATGGAAGCCACTCGCGCCACCCAATCTTGTAACCCCAATGGACTAGCGAACCATATCGCCTTAGCTTGAGGGCACCAAAATCTTTTACCTTTATTTTAGAACGTCGGTTATTTAAACTTTATTTTAGTAATTTGTTATTTCTGTAACCAAACACCCAAATCTTTATTAATACACATTGACAAAACACCCGAAACTTTATTAATGCACCTTAATCTTTATTTCGATATATCCTTTGAACTTTCAAAGTGGCTATGAGTTCTAACATGATTTTTAACATGACCATTTACTCCTCCAAATTTATTTTTTAAATTCGTTTAATTGACATAAAACAAGATAAATGTAATTTAAAACGTTTAAAAATAATATGTACTTGTAAGTTTGTAACAATAATTGAAAATATGGTGAGAGTTCATGAAGCATTGCTAAGCTTCTTCAAGGGAAACGATAATTGCACTGTTTTTTTTTTTAATTTTTGGTCATCAGATTAGATAAAATCTATATTAAACAATGTAATAAATATTTACCTCCACTTATAAGTGATCGAGAGATCTTAGATTCAATTATCGTCAAAAACGAATTTGAACCACATTATTGCTAGTCTATTATGAGTTGTAGCCCACTCCTCACCCCTTAGGTTCGATTTATCGTTTGTTAAAAAAACAATGCGATAAATTCAAAGGTGAGTGTTTAAAAAGAAATAAATAATCCGTATGTGTGATTATTGTTTTTTTTTTTTTTAGAAGAGAAATAAGAAACCCTAATGAAGTTTTTCACTGGGCCATAAATATGCCCTAAGCCCACGTTGAGAGCCTTTATTCGGTCAACAAGCCCACATTGAGAACGGGCTTAAATTTTATGCGGCATATCGTGTGAAGGGTCCGTTCACTTTACAGAGACTCTCCGAATTCCGCGCGTCCTTTCCCACGTGAAAGGCCGTTTTAAGTGCATTTTCATCCATTCTTTCTGTTTTTCTTCTTCTCCGTTTCCAACAACTTCAATGCAAAAACATTCCCAACAAAACTTAACGTTCAAAAAATCTTCTATCGTGTTGATCACCATTCTGCGCGCCATTGTTTAATGATTACCCACTTTCCGTTTGTTTCCCGGGAAAATCACATTGGAAAGAAAACGTAGGTAAATGAAACCGCTTTCTGAGAGAATGGGTTAATTTGTTTGGTATTGTGATTGCTAATGGCTTTTTGTTTGGTGAATTTTGGATCTGGCCAGGTGTGGGTGGTGTGTGTGTGAGGAGTAGAACGTATGGCGTACAAGGTGGATCACGAATACGATTACCTCTTCAAGATTGTATTGATTGGAGATTCGGGTGTCGGAAAATCGAACATTCTTTCGAGGTTTACGAGGAATGAGTTTTGTTTGGAGTCTAAGTCCACCATTGGAGTTGAATTTGCAACTAGGACATTGCAGGTTGGTTTTTGTTTTTTGGAAAATATTGATCATTTGCAATTTTCTTGGTTTTATATTGTTCTGTTCTTCAATTTTTATTGGAATTGAAACAATGGTGAAGGAATAAATTATCGTTTATAGAATTGTGGGAAATCCTTATAATTGTCTTCTTATAGTTTATTTCGATCTCTTTAGGCAAAGTTTTATGAAGTACAAAAACTTTAGCACCGTCTGATAACCATATCATTGCGGTTTTTCTTACCAAACCTTTGGATTGAGTTTTAGTAAGCCTTTGTGCATATCAACTTCAACTATTTGTTTATAGCCTGTAAGGATGAGAAGTTATTATATAACTTTGCTTATACAGTTAAGGTATATATAGTACCAATGTTGCGTTGCGTATCATCCAGTTTACGTCCTTGCCATGGACAATCTAGGTAGAACACTGCCATTCTGCAGAATATTGTTTGGTACCAATGTCAATCTAGGTAAAAACTACCATTTTAGCCGATTACAGATGTAATTGAATTGGTTAGTGGCAGGGCTCTGTGCAGGGCTTGTAGGGCTTCCCTTGTTATGTATAGTAGAGAACTTCAGAATGGGATTATCATTTTTTATACTAAAAAAACCCTTCTCAATCTCACATGTCTAAACGATGCGTCTTTTACTGACAAACAGCTGTTAAAATTAAAGCGATTCATCACTTGGTTTTGATTGTTTAGTCATCTAAGTTTAAGGAATAGTTGCTTGCTTCTACGTCAAGATATGTCCTTTTATTCTGATGCAGGTAGAGGGGAAGACAGTGAAAGCACAAATATGGGACACGGCAGGTCAAGAGAGGTACCGAGCCATTACGAGTGCTTACTACAGAGGGGCTGTTGGTGCCTTATTGGTGTATGACATAACCAAGAGGCAAACATTTGACAATGCGCAGAGGTGGCTCCGCGAACTAAGAGACCATGCAGACTCTAACATTGTCATAATGATGGCCGGGAACAAATCTGACTTGAATCACCTGAGAGCAGTTCCGGCAGATGATGCTCAAATCTTGGCTGAGAAGGAAGGTCTCTCGTTCCTTGAAACTTCAGCATTGGAGGCCTTCAATGTCGAGAATGCGTTTCAGACCATTTTGTTGGACATTTATCACATAATAAGCAAGAAGGCACTAGCAGCACAGGAGGCAGTTTCTACTGGACTCCCTCAAGGAACTACCATCAATGTTGCAAATATTTCCAGTGACATGAACAAGAGAACTTGTTGCTCTAACTAAGAAAGTATCAACTATCGATCTATAAGACGGAAAGAAGTAGGCAAGCGTATACAATTTTTGTTTTTGTTTACAGAAAAATGTGGCTAAGTTTCTAGCTACTTGTCATGTATTTTAACCTCTAGACGCTAAAGTGAAAAGCACAGGGTTTTAGTGAACCGTAGTTGAAGATGAACGTGACAGTGTCCGCTGTTTCTGTTGATTTTTGGACTGGTACCTGAGGTAATCGGGGTCTTGTTATAGGCAAGGATTAGGTTAAAAAAGCATTGTATGTGTTCATATTATTCTTTTCTTCTTCTTGTTCTCCAAAATTTATCTCTGATCTTGTGAATCTTTGTACTTGATGCTGCAATAAATCTTTCCATGTATTATGATGTTATTACTTTTTTTAAAATGACAATCTGTACATTGTAGATAGCTCAGAAAGAGTTGCTTGATTTCGGAAAAATACATGCGTTGAGTCGAAGTTTGTACAGTCTCACTCATTTGGAAGAGACTTGTAAGACACGATAGGTTGAAATGTCTCTTTAAGTCTTCCCGGTCCCCAAAAAAAATGGATAACCATGGCTTGCCACCAGTTGTCTCCTTTTAAAAAAAAATATATTGTCCAATTTATTAAATTCAGTTCCAACGTTTAGAGTTAAGCAAACAGAACTTAATAGTAGTCTAATTTAATTCAAATAATTCAGTCTAGATCGAGTAACCAATTGAAAAGTGGAACAAGTAGTTGCAATCTTGCAATCTTGCTTACTGACGAAATCGTTTTTTTTTTTTCTTTCTCTAGACTATTCCTCAGAGATCAACTCAGTAATAAGTCAATCAAACCAGAAATCGTTAAACCATTCAACTAATATTGTTGTAATTTAAATGTTTAACTGAAAAAAAATATTAAGTATATTTATTGAACTATTAAATGACTAAATGATCTCGTATTTAGTTATTTTTTCTTTGTAGAGATGATCTTTAAGCAAGCACTCCACTAATAAACAAAGAAAATCTCTCTTCCTACAAAAGCAGGGTACTCTCCATATTTCTAGTTTGTTTCAGTACCATTTTTATCCATTATTTCGTTAACAACACCAAGCGAAAGATGAAGCAAGAAATAGAGACATTTTTCAATGTACATGGCTGTGTTGGTTTGAAATTTGAAAAAAAAAAAATCGACTAATTGTATTATAATACTAAGTGTACTAGGTAGTGTTTCTGGTTGAAAAATGTCTCCAAGAAATGAGAGCACATTTATATACATTTATTTCATTAACAATAAGCTTTTTAGTCAAAATAGTTCCTGAGATTTGCATAACTCCTCACTTTGATCCATGAGATTTGAAATTGATAAAATTGGTCCTTGAGTTTTTCCACAATCAATCATTTTGGTCATTTCTTGAAAAATCTCAACAAAATAAGGATAAAATGACAAAATACCCTCAATTTTTGTCAAATCATTTTGGCCTATTGTTTATTATATTGAGGTAATTTTGTCACTTGGATCCTTATTTAACATAATTTTTTCACCGAATGACCAAAATGATTGATGGTGGACAATTTCATAGACCACTTTTATTGATTTCAAATATCAAGGACCAAAATAAGGAGTTAGGCAAATCTCAAGGATCATCGCAATATATTTTTAAAAACGGTTTTGGCCGCGTAGATACTAGACGAGGATTTACCCTTTAAGGATGCAGAAAGTCATCACACTTGAAATGTCGTTAATAATTATCGGTAATATGAACCATGTTCATAGCATCTAGATGCTTGAAAGTCGAAAAATAGATCTGCAGGCCTGCAAATTTACTCCTAAACATTAATGCCAAACGGTTCTGATTTCTTAATCTAGAAAATTTGTTGTGAGATCGCTTTCATATCGAACAAATTAATTAACCTTTTAACCAAAGGATCGAATGACAGAGTCCCTTAGCTGTAAAAAAAACAGTGAGAAACAAGCACAGACTTGAATCAAAAAACAACAAACTGGTTCTTCCTATAAAAGCAGGCACTCTTGGTTTGAAATTTGTATCATTACAAACTAAACTGTTTTTCGTAACATTTCTCAGCTTCCTTTGTTGAATAAACGAATGCGTCGAGCCGGGGGTTCCTAGAAGTAATAGTCCCTTCTCTTCGAGGAGGGTGGGTGCTTTGCGCCCTACTTCAACTGTTGCTGAGGAACTAATCTCGTCTCATCTTTAAAAAAACCTTAAAGATGAAGCATGATAGATTGGAGAAAAGAAAATCAGGCAGTCATGCTTCGGATATATTTAGGGACGACGAGACTTGGGTTTATGATTCATCCATAGATCATAGAGGACGAGTTCCTCGCCGTGCTTCTACTGGTGTTTGGAAAGCTTCACTGTTTATCATCAGTAAGTGCCTCTGTGTGTTTGTGTGTGTCTTTATATTTTTCAAATCATCTTTGAAAGCCAGCATTTTGATTCTTTTTTTTTTTTTTTTCGTCAAAGCATTTCATTAATTTCTTGAACTCTCTTAACCCGGTAATTTCTGAGTATATAATCGGCCATCTTCGATCGTATATATTTGTTTGTCATATACACGATCAGCTGTGTAAAGCTGTTTCTGGTTTTATATATTTTTTTGTCTCTCTCTCTCATCAAAGTGATTGATATATTTATTTTTGTTGTAGCTATTGAATTTAGTGAAAGGTTAAGCTGGTTTGGACTATCAACAAATCTCATCTCCTACCTCACCGGAGTACTTCATCAAGAAATCAAAACAGCAGCCAAAACTGTGAACTTTTGGTCAGGAGTGACAACATTAATACCTTTAATTGGAGGATTTTTAGCAGATGCCTACACTGGCCGATTCGGCATGGTTATGGTTTCATCCTTCATTTATCTAACGGTGAATATATTAAGCCCTAACTTACCAGAGAAATTTACCTGCACAAGGGATGACACTATGGTGGTATCTTTAGTAAGTGACGTATTGTCATGTATTTTTCGCTGAGGTTACTACCAAAGTCCCCTGTCGCAAGGAAGTTTTTCTCCCAAATTTATATTCAATCGTACTACTCATAAATATTGGACTAACACCTTTTACAAAATCCTTAAATCATCAGGGTCTAAGTCTGCTGACAATGTCGCAGTTCGTCCCTAGTCTAAAGCCCTGTGATACAACCCCCTGCCGACTGCCGCCTCGAAGGCTTCATGAAGTGGTGCTTTTTGTTGCCCTGTATTGCATCTCTCTTGGAACTGGAGGGCATAAACCATGTCTTCAGAGCTTTGGAGCAGATCAATTCGATGACGATCACCCGGTAGAACGAATCAAGAAAATGTCCTACTTCAATTGGTGGAACTTTGCAACCTGCTGTGGGCTGCTTCTTGGGGTGACCGCAATTGTCTATGTTCAAGACTTTTTGGGTTGGGGTGTTGCTGTTCTTGGTCTCACAATCTTCATGGCTATTACAGTTGTCAGCTTCTTTATGGGGAAGTCTTGCTATAGGTATAGGCTCCCAGAAGGAAGCCCTTTGATCCCTTTGTTGCAGGTATTTGTTGCAGCCATAAGAAAAAGAAAGTTGGCCCATCCTTCAAACCCTGCTTTGCTATTCGAAGTTCCCAAGTCTCAAGCCCATGGAAGGCAACTACTTCATACAAATAGGCTTAGGTAAGCAAACATATGCCTTCATTATCCAATTACAATTTATTATTGAATGCAACTATTTCGACAATACAGACCTCATTAATTGTTGACCACATCTCAAATAGAGACAGAATCGTAGATTTTGATTAGTTCCATGTCATTTGCTCTAATTCGTAGGTTTTTAGACAAATTTTTTATGCATAAAACTTTTTTACCATATTGTTGACCACTTCCCAAATATAGAGGTACGACCTGTTTTTGTAAGTGTGTTTCGTCTTTGTAAAAAATCTATATGGTTGAAATAGCGAGACTCAGTATGTATTTACCTTTGTTTTCTTAGGTTTCTAGACAACGCAGCGATCATAGAAGAGAATGAGAGCACATCTTGTTTGCAACAGAAACACAATCCTTGGAGATTGACAACACTGACAAGAGTGGAGGAGGTGAAGCTTCTTTTCAACATGATCCCCATATGGATAACCTCAATACCATTTGGATTATGCGTCGCACAAGCCCCAACATTCTTTGTCAAACAAGCTGCAACAATGAACCTTAATATCACTGACAACTTCAAAATCCCACCAGCCACAATCAACTCTCTTGCTGCCATTGCAATGTTGATATCTGTCGCAGTCTATGACAAGGTTCTTGTTCCGGTTCTAAGGAAAATCAACGGCAACGAACGGGGGATGACCATCCTCCAAAGGATTGGAGTTGGCATGGTTTTTTCAACGGCAGCAATGACAGCTGCAGCATTAACCGAAACAAAAAGACTAGGAGTTCATAATCCAAAATCTCTGAGTGTGTTGTGGCTAGCTCCCCAGTACATAATTCTAGGGTTTGGAGATGGGTTCACTCTGGTAGGGCTACAAGAGTACTTCTACGACGAAGTTCCCGACAACATGAGAAGCATAGGGATTGCTTTGTATCTGAGTGTGATAGGAACTGGGAGCTTCGTAAGTAGCTTTCTGATTATGGCTGTGGATAGTATCACCGGAAAGGGAGGGAAAAGCTGGTTTGGAAAGGACTTACGTTCAAGCCGTTTGGACAATTTCTATTGGCTTTTGGCAGCAGTGAATGCGGTGAATTTCTTCGCTCATGTGTGGGTATCTATACGATATACGTACAAAACTGTGGAGAGGAGGAGGGTAGTGCCTGATAATGTTTCTGAGTGTAGCAGCAGTGATCAACTTATGCCTTGATAATTATTATGTGTAAATGAGGAAATTGAGCATGCTTAATGGTTCATAACGTTTGTCTTGTTGAATGCTGAACAAATTTTTTTGATGTTTTTAAAATTAAAAACTTCTTCATTGTCAATTTTTTCAATTACGATACAACAAACCATCCTTATCCAACTATTTAATCCTAAAATGTATTGGATTTGGTTTTGTTTCAAGTCTTCGTATTATATCCAGTATTAAAACAAATAATATATCCACTATTCTAATTATTCAACAATATTCAAAATAAATTTCCCTTTTTTAGCACAGTAACAATATTCAACGTTACACCAAAATAACAAACTAACAATCTATTTATCTTAATAGCAATATTGTGTAAGGTTTCCGTACGTCACTCTCACATAACGATCTGCACACTTTGATTTCGGTTGGAGTGTATACAGTTAAGTGAATCGAAATGCTTAAGGAGTTAAATATTCTCAAGACACCCAACTAAGATGGAAGCTTAATTAACGAGCAGTGGTCTACAGAAGAGTACTGGTTGCCGAATTAGTACAACAGCCGAAACTTCCTTGGCTTTAACTCTTCAAGCGAAAAAGTGAGCATGTCGATCGGAAAGAATTAGGGTATAAAAGAAAAGACCCATGCGGCCTGATTCCACGGGGCACGGCTTTTGTTAATTAGTTGCTCGTTTGAATGTTTAAAATATTCACGAAATTATCGATATTTTAATCAAAATATTTGAGAAGTCACGGAAGTTTTTTTTTTTTTTTTTTTTTTTTTTTTTGTGGGGAGGGTGGTACAGTTCACCTTATATTGGCAAGATATATGAAAAATAATGAATATCAATGATATTTATCAATTTAGTATATATATTTTATCGGAATCATACAGAGTTTGGATTTTTTTTTTTTTTTTTGAGAAAATATTCATCTAATTTTGACTCAATTTGAAAGAGTTGGTATACTCATCCTATTGCAAATTTTCATAATTTTAGCTGAAGACAATTGATATCGATTATAATATCTCATAAATTTGCATATTATTATTTCCATGTCTATCGAAATTTTAAACATTGATTAGTCTGCGGAGCAAAAAAAAATTGTAGAAATTATTATATATAATATTGAAATACCGCCTAACCAATACCCCAACATAAGCCAACATAAGTTATAACATGGTTCAATTAGAGGCCAAGAGCTGGTGGGATAACGGAATTGATTTTATTTTATTTTTTTATTTTTTTAATTTATGTGTTACATTCCAAATATTTCTGACTTTTTTGGCAATGTCGTGACACCTAGTCACAACCCATGATGGGATAGATAGATGGGATAGATATCAACGCTAAACAAATGGGGAATAACAAGATAAAAAGTAACGAGATCATAGTCTTTGCACTAACCGCCGTTAATAAAGAAAGCGTTTCTTGTTAGTAAGTAATATTATTTATATTAAGAGGTGGGAGAATAATAATGTGGTTTAAATTCGTATTTAGCGAGAATCGAATTTAAGAACTCATTTACAATAAAGAGAAATACCATGGAGTTTTAACGAAACACTTATGGTACTGTTCACTTTCAACGAAATACCACATTTTTTACCTTTCATTTGTACTATTTACTACATCTTTATTTGTCATTTTTCATTAAAACTAAAATTTTTTTTTGAACTTTTCACTAGTTTTTCTTAAATTACACTATTAAATGACCGTAAAAGATTCTTAATAATGATAAATTAATCTGTGCTAGTTTAACGTAATTTCAATTACTCAACCCCGCCTAGGGGCTAAAGGAAGATACTCTCGTGAAAAGAGAAAGATACTATCTTGCTTGGACTCGAAGCCATCCAAGTTCCACTTTTCTTTTACATACTCATGCATTTGAACCTGCCACTAAAGGGAACCAAGATGATCCATACTCCTATTATGCTATACATTTTTTTATATATTTATTTGTGAAAGTTATACTACCATGAACAAATTCACATTATGGTCACTGAAATACAAGTTGGTTATAAATTAGGAAATTTTTTTAAATGTGACGGTGGCACAATCTTATAATGCTATAATTTGAACGTTACTATAAAGATCAACAATAACATCGATATTTCATAACTTAAGTATCATAAATATTATGTCTCACTTTTCTAAGCGAAAATCACATTTATTAGTTGAAAATTGAATTGGTACAAACAATAACATTCTAATTTGTAATATCACATAAGAGCTTGAAGGCCACAACTAAATTTTGCTAATAAATTAGAACGAAATTATGTTTCATACAATCGTAGCTTTGCATTATTGATTTCTAAAAAAAAAAAAAAAAAAAAAAAAATTAGGAAGAATAAAAGTGAATGGATATGGTTTTGCTAAAATGAGGGTTATGTTCATTACCCAAATAAATATAAATTTCAAGATTTGTATAATGGATAAACTCAAGGGAAAATTTCAAGAACTATATGAGAGTTGTGTGACTATCGCATACCACTAAAGCTCAAGGGAAAATTTTATAGGACGACAATAAGACCAGCAATACTTTATGGCATGGAATGTTGGGCGGTGAAGCATCAACACGTACATAAAATGGGTGTAGCAAATATGAGAATACTTCATTGGATGCGTGGGCACATGAGAAAGGATAAGATTAGGAATGCAGATATCTGAGGTATAGTAGGAATAGCTGAAATTGAAGGAAAAATGAGAGAAAATTGGTTACGGTGGTTTGGACATGTAAAATGAAGGTTTACTGATGCTCCGGTCAGAAGATGCGATTACGGAACAGAGGTTCATGGTCGAAGGGGTAAAGGAAGACCTAAGAAGACATGACACAGAACCAAGCACAATGATGTTTTACGATTCATACAGTCGATCTCATTTAATTGTAAAATGCTTTGTTATTGTTATTGTAATAAACACAAACCTAAATAAAATATACCCAAAGTGAATGGTGGATAGGAGTAAAATACTTTGTGGAAAAATTGTTGGTCGGTGGGTGAAAAGTACAAAATAAAAGATAAAAAGAGAGACAAAAAGTTTGAAATTTTGAATACTTAGCCCTTCGGGAATGCTACGTGGCAGACAAGTAGTGGAGAACACAATTAACCGACTTATGCTCCCATTACAACAACGTTAACCTCGCCAGCTGGCAGCAATACGCCCACTCCAAAGCTTTTTTATTTTTTATTTATTTGTGAAAGTCCGCATGCGAACGTGAAGCCGCTTGCGCAAAAAGCATATTCGAAAGCGAAAATAATCGGTAAATAAGATATTCCACGGCCGCATAAATTGCCTGCATCCAGTTGTATTATAACACCACCCACATCAAAAAAATATTCACTGTCGTGTTTACGTACCAACGGTCTCTTTTTATTTACTAATAGAAAACCGCCATTTGTCTGTGCTAGAATAGGACGCAATGCACTTGATTTCCCCCCCGGGGCCCCCCGCGCGACTTGTTTAGTTGACGATGACGGAAAACCCTAATCTTTCCTTAAACGCACCGTCTAGGTGAAAGCGGTCAAACGGCGTCGCTTGGTACATTCTTCTACCTCTTCCTGCGTTCAAATTAGGCAGGGAGAGCAGACAAGAGTAATGAAGAAGTTCCACAGCAGAAGCAGAAAACTGGGTTCGTGCAATTTCTAATCTCTAGGGTTTTTTTTCCGGCATTCAATTTCTATCAGGTTTTGGGAGTTTGGGGTGAGGTTGCTTCGTGGCGAAGTTAGGGGATTCTAGCAGCAACCCAGAAATGCAGACGGAGGCGAGAGTTGGGGTGGTGGTGGAAGGAGGGCAGATTGCTCTGAATACCGGCCATGGAGGCGTGGCCGTCGAAGGCGGCGTGAGGTCGCTCGCGCAGTCGCTGCCGCAGAAACAGACGAAGCCGCTGCACCAACAGCAGTCTCAGATCGGTACGGTGTCACAGCTTCTCGCCGGAGGAGTCGCCGGCGCTCTCAGTAAGACTTGCACGGCGCCTCTTGCTCGGCTCACTATTCTCTTTCAGGTGGGTCTTCTCCCTGTTTTTCCTTCATTTTTAATGTTTGTTTTTGCAGGCTGATTAATGAGTTTTTGTTTAATTTATAGATTTGTAATATATTATTTTGGTGTTTGGTGTGTTCTTTTCAATGAAACTTGGTTAAAAAAAAAAGAACTTTGAATTAAATGTCGGAGTTTTCGAGTTACTGATCAAGTGAAGATTGGGTTTTGTTATGCTTTACTGAACAAAGGGTCATGCTTGGTTTTAGTTTTAATGAAAATTTGGTTAAAATTTTGAACTTTGAATTAAACCCGAGTTTTCGGGTTACTGAACAAGTAAAGATTGGGTTTTGTTATGATTATCGAACAATGGAGCTGCTTTACTGATATCACGCTATCATTTTAGGTGCAAGGTATGCACTCAGATGTTGCAACGATGCGAAAAGCTAGCATATGGCATGAGGCCTCCAGAATTGCTGGTGAAGAAGGATTTAGAGCTTTCTGGAAAGGAAATTTGGTGACAATTGCTCATCGTCTTCCATATTCTTCCGTCAATTTCTACTCATATGAGCAGTATAAAAAGGTTGGTAAAAACACTTGGTTCATGTTACCTTCATGCAGTTCAACTGGTCAATTAAGTTATTTTACCATTGTTTTATGTTTAATTCATTGGGTTTTATGTGGTACAGTTCCTAAAAAAAGTTCCTGGACTGGAAAATCATAGGGACAACTTAAGTACAGACCTTGGTGTGCATTTTGTGGGTGGAGGATTGGCCGGAATAACAGCTGCATCAGTTACATATCCTTTGGATCTTGTAAGGACACGCCTTGCAGCTCAGGTAATTTGGAAAGAAATGCTTTCTTTTACTAGATTTTGTACTTATTTGGGAAGTGCTTTTAGACAACTGAAACAGCGTTTAGAGAAAATGTTTTTGAAACCAATACTTAGTAAAATTAAGTTAATCCTAGAAGTGCTTCCTTCAGGAAGCAGGAAGAACTTCAAGTGCTTTTGGAACCCAAAAACAGTTTCTCTAAAAGTGCTTTCAGTCATTTAAAAGCACTTCCCAAATGAGATTGGTTAAGTTGTTGAACCATTGATTGCCATGTTTGGGAATGCATGTCGCGTCAATCATTGGTAGTTGGCATATGTTTTCTTTTTTAAACACTTCCCCAGAAGTTACAGTCTAGTTGTATATTTGAATCATACCTACAGGGGCATATGTTCAACTGTATTCTGAACCATTTCATCCTTTTTGAATTACTGTATGTTAGTCTCTGATCGAATTTAAAAGCTCTGCCTCGACTGAAAAGTTTTCATATGTATTTTGCTCCCCTATTGATTTGTTGGAAATTTGCAGACAAACGTGATGTACTACAAAGGAATTTGGCATACACTGCGAACTATTACCCAGGATGAGGGTATTTTTGGCCTCTATAAGGGACTCGGAGCAACCCTTTTGGTATTCTCAAATTATTTTTTTGTAACTTCATTTATGCCTAGAATCCTCTCTTGGTGTTTTATCTGACTTCTCTACTGTCTATAATGCAGGGTGTTGGGCCCAGTATAGCTATCAGTTTTTCAGTGTATGAGACCTTGAGAGCTTATTGGCAGTCACATAGGTGGGTTACTTTATCAATTGAGTCTGCAGTTAAATGGTTTATATGTTACAATCACCTTTGCATGCATGCTTTCTTTAGGCCTAACACTATAGTGCTAATTTTGTTATCTTCACATCAGGCCTGAGGATTCTACTGTGTTGGTTAGTCTTGCTTGTGGGAGCCTTTCAGGAATTGCATCATCAACAGGTGAGTGATCTTACACTTCCTATTTCCTTAGATCTCTTGAAAAGTGATTCTATATAGTTTCTCAAAAGTCAGATAGTCTGGATGGTTGTTCTTAATGGAAGTCATAGTTTGTATTGTATAGATATCGGTGTCAAGCTTGATGCGTGGATGTAATGCTTCCTTTACCCATGTAGCTTTAACGCACATTTCTTTTCACTATTTACTACTTCAATAATAGTTTCTGTTGGATTACTTTTAAGGGTTACATTTGGTGAAATACCCCTAACCTAAACTATTGCATTGAAATCTGATTAGAGCAGTCTTGTTACACTTAACAATGTGGTTGAATAATTTGGTTTGTTTAATTAGAAATGTCAATAATAAATAAAAGTTAATGTACCTAGCTGTTTTCTATGCTTGTGATGCAGAGAAAACAGGTTGTGGTGCAGGCTCTGCACCAAGTCTCTAAACAGACTGACCCTTAGAGCCAGAAACCAGGCCGGAGTGGGTTTTTAATGCGGTATTTGAGAATCTTAGTAAGGAAGCTGACAAGAAATTTCTTATGCATCATCACTCATCTAACTTATTTTTGTTTTTATGATAAAGACCTTGTTTTGATTAACATCCACTGTCCAACATTTCTTCGGTGACTTGTCTCCCAAAGGTTTGCAGTCGGTTCTATTGTAGGGTGGAACTGCTCTCAGGTGAAAGTATGTCTTCAGTTACCAAATGTGAGAGGTGTCCTCTTTGAGGTATGCTTCTCACTTAGGTTTCCTTATTCCAATGGCTTCATGGGTATTGTATTCCTTCAAGCCCTTGCGAATGCATGCGGGGATACTCTTGGGCTGGTGTTGCCTTCACTTGGATCTTAATCTCTAAATATTCTTTCCTTTATTTAAGGCAGACTATCTTCCTTCATTTTGTCATAAAAGTGTGAGTGTTAGCTTTTTAAATCATCTGCTGACTGACCAGTAAGGTATTTGAACACCTCATTATTACTCCCGAAAAAACTAAATTTCATTCATACTGGCACTAGATTGTCAAGCTGCATAGTGGTAGTAGTCGAATAGCCAATTTACTGAATTTATTTGAGAGTGGTTGCATAGTGCTTGTAGTCTGATCATAGGTTTAGTTTTATTTTCGTTGCTTTTAAATCATTTTCTCGTCTTGAGTTGTCATGTGCCACTGTCTTTGCATTGTTTGATTTGTTAACTGTTCGAGACCTGATTTCATGACCTCGGAGAATGTAGTCTTCAAACAGTATTGTAGTATGATGGCATTTACCAACCGTGTCCAGCTCTTTTCATTTTATTCTCATTATATTGTGCAGCAACCTTCCCATTGGATCTTGTGAGGCGACGGAAGCAGTTGGAAGGCGCTGGTGGCCGAGCTCGTGTCTACACAACAGGTCTTTTTGGCACATTTAAGCACATCTTCAAAACAGAAGGGTTGCGTGGCTTATATAGAGGGATCCTCCCAGAATACTACAAGGTGGTACCGGGTGTAGGTATCTGTTTCATGACGTACGAGACGTTGAAGATGCTTTTAGCGGATGTCAGTGCTGCTATATAGTTTCACTAGATACGAAAGAAGCTGTTGGAACAAAATCTCGTGGCAGGTAGTTTTGCGATGCTGCTGTGGGGAAGAGATTTTTCCGTGTATAGATTGACGATCCTACATCTCTCACATTTTGAATTTGTATGCGACGCAAGTGTCTCTTACGGTAATCAGAAATATTCAATCTTCTCCTCTGAGAAATCTTCAATTTACGGGACGTTTCCGGCAGCTGTAATTCATACTTGTCTTCGAATTAACAAAGCAATCTAGCATTATGCGTTGTACTAATCTATCTATCTGCTAATTTCTCGTCGTGATTGCCCCTCTGGCGCATGATGTTATCAATCTACTTGTTCTCTAAAACATGTTTTAATTTTACGATTCTACACCGTTGGTACACGAGATATCTACTGTCACACTGAAAAACTTGCCGTTTTCCAAAAACACGCTTCTCTTTCACAAGAATTGTTCTACACATTACTTGCTCTCATGCGAAGAACTCTTTCACAAAACTTCTCTTAGAAAATTCCATAACACGAACTCCATTAAAATTTGTAAGAACAGAAGAATCCATAACACAAACTCCATTAAAATTTATAAGAACATAAGAATCACTTAGTACTGGTTTGGTACTGAGGTGCTTTTATAAGAAGTGGGTATAAGAAAAAGCTAAGCTCAAAAAGGTGTTTGGTGAACACTTAAAAACAGCCTATTTTCACAGTTTTAGGTGAAAAAAAGCTGAAAACGTAAAGTAGCAAAATGAGCTTCTTCTCACAGCACAACAGAAGCAGTTTTTTTTTTCAAAGTACAGCAATACCAAACCAGCCCAATCTCAAATAAAATAAAAATACATGGATATTTATTATTAATATTATTGATTGGAAGAGTGACAATTCGAGCTTGTATCCACTCCCAGCGCCCTAGAGCTTCTGTGATGAGCTCAATCCGTTGTTAGGGTTGAGCAAAATAATATCTTCAGACTTCAATGGCCGTATAGAGCAGAGAGAACAGAGAAATAGCAACATTATTTTTTCCTCGTTACACAGGGAAGTTTCCGGTGTGGTGAATGTGATCCAATGTGCGACGCAAACCATATTTATTCACAGCTGCATTGGCTGCTCGAAACCCTCCTCCGTATGCAGGTGAAGAATCGTGGGAGATTTGGTGCTTGAAAAACTCCCCTAGTTTGTGTTCAACTTCCGATTTTCCACCTTTTTTCGAGGAAAACGTGAAAGAGGAAGAGGAAGCTGCAGGTGAAAATGTAGATGAAGATGGCATGCTTTGGAATCTCGGCATTACTTCTGACTCAAGCCACATGTATGAAAGCACCTGGCAGATGCCTTCCTCTACCTCAGGATTAAGATTCCGGTAGCCATTGAGGCGTAACCAGCCGTGCATCAACTCATGGGCAAGAATGGCACCAGTTAGTAACCTGCATCCAACATGAATATTGAAAACAGTCAGATGAACCTTGTGTGCTGCCAGTTTGATAACCAACTAGCATTACCTTGGGAGACCATAGAGAACAAGAATGGCAGTAACTTCGCAACTTCGTTTCAATTTCTGAGGTTGGGTTCTCATTCCGATAAATTGATACCCTCCGATTCTCGGCCTTCTGAGGATCTGATTAGTAACACATGAAGGAATCAAGAGAAACAAATGAGAAAATTTCGTTGAGGTCAGCTTCATGAATCATTTCAATTTTAAGAAAGAACGAAAAGAGAACTAGTAGAATTGTCTAGATTCGTACACTGGTGACAGTCTGCTCTTCCGAAAGGCATAAACCCCTCGTCTCGGGCATGTGATGGAGGCCCTGCAAAGAACCAGTGATGAATTAGACGAATTCCTCAAACCGAAAAAACTCAAAGCACAGAGCAGGGATTTCGACATTACACTCCTTTCGCCTACAATAGCTTCGTTAAGTGCTTGTCTTTCGACCAGAAGCATGGGTATTTCCTGCTCCAATTTCATGTACATCCCTTCGTAATAGTCTCGTATGGCATGATACAATGGCTGACAGTCACCGGTGTCCATGATAGCAGATTCCATGCACTCGTAGCATAGACTCCGCCCGTCCCCCAGTGAAACGTACCTTGCATCCCAAGACTTCCAAACGAAGAAAAAGAAGACGAAGAAAGCAGAACAATTTGATTTAGTGTTCGTAAAGTTTCAATTTCAAGAAATACTTCGAGGAGGTGCTAGTGTAGATTAGTACCTCTAAGCGTTCGCAACTGCAGCAACGAGCTGTGTTATCATGTTCATGTGCTGGACAGTACTTCTGTGACCAAAAAGGATGACATCTGTACTCGATCAAACCAGCTCGATTCGTTGGAATCTGAAAATTTTGGAAGCGAAGAATCATTAATGTCGAAGTAGGTTACCATAACGTTTCTATATATTTAAAGAAATAGCCTTTTCTTACAAATTGATGGCAAACTTCACACTTGGGATGAGACAGCTCTTTAAAGCAGGACTTGTGATACGGATCCCTCCCCGACAAAGAAAACTAGGATCAAGAGAAAACGCCGGTAAGAACTAGACCATGGCGAAGGAAAAAAAACATGGCCGAACGAGTCCAAGGAAGAGAAACTACCTCATTCTCAACAATCGGGTGGCCACAAGAACGGCAACAGAAGCACTGGGGATGAAAAAAGATCCCCATGCACCCCAGGTAGTTGCCAAACTGTATCTCGTGTTTACAACCGCCACATATTCTGCTAATCAGACACAAAATGCACAGGATTAGTAGCAGCAACTTTCAAAGCTTCATTAACACTGAGTAATTTGGTATGTAAATAAAAAAATTGATCGAACCGAAGATCCTAAGCTACGTGAAACTAAAAAGTACACCCGAAAAAATGTTACCTTTGTTGTCCATAGGGATAATACGGTGGAGGGGCTGAGGCATTTGGACGATAGAAAGGTGGAATCGGACCTTCCTGAAGCGACCTAGCAAGCTCTTCATCCTTTTCTGTCTGCCATCTATATCCTGAATATTGCGAAAATATGCCTGAATAATGACATTGTGAAAACACACGGCGCTCACATAGTGTAGTATTCGGAGGTCGGATCTTGAAGAATGGAAACTTACTGCTTGGTTTTTTCAAATCTTCGGCCAGAGACAGTGCAATTGCATGGTCTAACTCCTCTTTCTCCTTCTGCGCTCTAGAGCGGTCATCCTGATCACACAAGAAAAAGAAACTAATTTAGAAATTCCAGTAGTTTACTCGGATTCTCACCTTCGTCGTTGTAGCTTTCTTTGTTGCACTTTCGTTCTTATAGTTTCATTCCGTTAGCACCATTCAGTCCAATTCATCAAATAAGGCAAAGTTACTTCCATAAAAATTTAATGGAAAAATCAACTCAGTTGACGGTTAAAACATAACAAAAATGATCTACATGGATGAAAGTAAAAATCCGAGTAAAGATACAAGCACTCAAAATCAACTGGGAATTATAAAAATCTCGTAATATTTTGCAGCCGAAATCAAACCAAAATATGCTATAATTTTGTAATCAACACAAAAAGAACAATACTAACATATATTAACAATCTGAAGTTAAGAAGACGTGATCATAAAAAAATAAGAGGGGTTGGTGTTCAAACCAATGATCGAGGTAGCGCCCGCGAAAGCATGTTTTCGTCACCAATAAGCTGCGGATTCCGGTTACTACCAGCAGCGGCTTCTCCACGACTAGGCCTACTCCTGAAAAGTTTACTGAGCCATTTCATAAAGCGTGACTTCCTCTCTACGTATGAAGAAACAAACTCCCCTGCTTACCACAAACATTTCAACATCATCTCCCAACTTAAAAAAAAAAAGTCCTCTGTCCAAACAACACAAGGCACAGAGTTTGGAAATAAATTAAAGCTGAATAAAAAAAAGTTGAATATATAGATATATGTGTTATACCAGAAATACGAGGGTGAGAAAGCTGGTTGACACCTGAAGCAACCATTGAAGATTAAGCTCCTTATATATAGAACGAGGGCTTCGCCGGAATCACAAAGAACCTTGAAAGGGACGGTCACAGAGAGAGAGAGAGAGAGAGAGAGATTACGCGACGGACGGCTCGAAAGAAAAGAGGGAGGAGAACAAGGCACCAGGCATCGTCAAAATTAAAGGGCCGAGAGAGAAAGCAAGCAAGAGAATCTCTGAGAGAAAAAGAAAGCGGTTTTAGAATGTAGACAGAGAGACGCAGAGAGCCGCAGATTCTTGGCTTCCACGGCAATGGAGTTCAATTCATTTCGCTCAAAACTCCAACTAAAAGAAAAACTCAAACTCAGATATTTGTACATGCACATACAAATGTACGTATTAGTCCTCCTACACTAAGGGTTAACAGTACTTAAGTTTATCGACGACTTATTAACAACTGCAATGTCAAAGTCTCAACAATATCGACAGGTTCTTCTTTTAGAAAAGTGCATGTAAACGCATTGTCGAAAAATTTTATATGTATATGTATGCGGTAGAGAAAAATATGGAATCTGGTGAAGCGGAGAATACAAAAGTAAGGGTGGAGGACAGCCGGATGAATCGAACGAAAAGATGAAAAAAGTGTGGTGTGCGTAAGCATCGTCGTGGATTGGAGTTGGAGAGATGGAGATGGATTGAAGAATGTACTTTTCTCTTTTCTCCTTGCTTTCTTATTTTGAATTTTAGGACTTTATGTTCTCCCGGGTTTTTACTATTTAGAAAGTGGTCAGAATATTCTCTTTATTTACTAGAATACCATGGAACTCCATCCCCCACCATATGGGCAAATATTAGGAACAGTAGGTTCATCTAGCCACGTCATTGTGCGGCTACACATACAAAAAGAGAATTTTATATAGAGAATTGTTATTAGCATTTCAAAAATCTCATTCTACACTCCAAACTTTCTATATTATGAAAGAAAAATACACTTGTGAGGAGTGTAGAATGAGATTTTTGGAATGTCAATAATACTTTCCTTTTATATATTGCATTCTCTCATCCTCACCATGGTCTAACTTGATTTTCCCTTATTTGTATATGGCTAGTCGGTCATGAGATTTCACCCCTTGCATGCCGATTATGGCCGAGAAGTATATTATTATAGTTGTCTCACCACAACGTGATTCAATCTGATTTGTTTAAAAGTTCATTTACTTATTAACATTATAATTTAAGTACATGACATATCAATATTATTTCTTATTTATATTATAACTCGTGAATTATATCATTACACAATAATATGACCGTTACACTTAAAGATTTCTCGCCTTTTATGATTATAACCAATAATCAGCCTGTTTAAAAACAGCTAAACACCACCCTTAAAATCCATTAAGATTAAAAAGTCTTCCTAATGGTGGTCCATTTAAAATAGCAGATTTTATTCTCTTTGCTCTCTTTTCCCACTTTTTTTCCATTTGGTTTGTCTATATATTAAATTCTCTTTGCTTCCTATGGAATTAGATACTTCTTTTTTATATTAACTCTCTTTTCTTTTCTTGGGTTTTCACATGGCAACAATATTCCCTCAAAAAAAAAAAAAAATCCCCCTTCTTACGTAGACAACACAAGATTCCATTCTCATCAACATCATAAGCGAGCCATTTGCAGGGAACTTTATATAATCCTATCAAAATGTTGTAACTTTCATTGACTTATATATAATTTTAATTGACACTGGCAAAAGCAAAGTATTATGATTTCATGTATCTTTGGTGCGGCACGGACGTAGCCACCAAAACTGAGGTGGATGAGCCATCTAACTAGCTAGCTTGGGATTTGTGAGAGAATTTTGGAGAGCAACTTATATGTAACAGATTTATTGTCATTCGTCATGTGGTGTTTCAATACATATGACGTAATATTACTAGACCGAGACACCAAAGTAAAAGTAAACTTGTTCTATATGTGAGTCATTTCTCCTGTTTCATGCATGTCATGGATAATTTATAACTTTGTGCGTGTGTAGTCAAAACCCACTTTACAGCTTAAAATGCTGGTACCTTTGGTAGTTTATTGACCTTCTTTTTGGCCTATGGTAACCAAAACGCTGTGATTTTTGCAGACTATATAATGGGATTTTCATGTCATCTGCAATTTCTAAAATGCAAGAGATTCTTGTATGTAGAAAATCTGTATTCGTAGCGGTTTTGGTAAGGCACAGAGACAGAGTGGCTGATACTTTTATGTAATTGTCTGCAACAAGCAACTGAGGCAAAGTCGGTTTTTGCATGGCAACTGTCCTATAATATTCCAATGCTACACAATTGAATACTATATGATGGCTCCTTTCAGTATAAAAGAGGCCTTTTGCTAGCCGTCCATATTCTTATTTTTTCACTTCTTTATTGATCTTGGCTAAAGCCTGAAGGTTAGGTTTGGAGCTGGACCTCCCTTTTCCTCGTAAAGAAAAAGTGTTTATATATCATGTTACTGATACAATTAATCTCACAATGTCACGTGATATTACTAAATATGTATTGCAATATATATACGAATTGACGATCTATTGACATTTTAGGATATAATATACTAAAGAAAAATGTTTTATTGTGTACATAATTTGGTTAAATCACATAACGGTTTGACAATCACACCAAAACTAAATCTTCCTAGGAATATAATCTCTAGCCAATAGGTTGTGACTTGAACCATATTCACAGAACTTTTGGCAGCCTATAGCTAGGAGCTTTTTTACTTTGAGAAATCTGAATTGCTATGGCAGTTGTACGCATTTGAATTTTATTCTCAGCTTGAGATCTACAAATATTTAATCATTTCTTTTGTGTGTTAAGGAGAAATTGTGAGTAAGAAGCAGTTGATGTTAGATGCTAATTAAGATTCTGGTAAAGAGCATGCAATATAATTTATGGGAAAATTTGAAATAAGTCCAATTTTATAGATTACCTTTTGAAATAAGTCCAATTTTATAGACTACTTTGAACCTATTTCAAAAAACCCCTTTATTTCGGGTATAGGGTTGCAGTTGTAGATGCCATGCCTGCATGCATATGGAAATTGAAAACCGTGCAGTTGCAGATGCCTTTCTTTAAAGTAAAGTTAACTTAGAATTTGTTGCTGTCGTGAAAAGAGGAAGCGATCAGAATTCAGAGCACATTGTGGAACAAATGACTCCATTTTGCTCGTGGTTTAGGCTGAATATACATATGGGCTTTTTTAGAGTTGGGGGTTGCAAGGAGTGTGTGGTTCAGTTATTGCTTGAAGTAGGGTGATCTCTGTTTTTCTTTTCTTTCTTTTTTTAAAGAATGTGGTTTTGTTAGATTAGATATTAGATTAGTCATCGACGTAGTTTGAATCCACGTTGTCATGTAAAAACTCAATACTTTTTTACCACTGTGATAAAGAGCTACTTGCCTAGGGTGATCCCTCAATAGATGTTTTGGTTGCCGGGTTCAGCCCTCCAAATTCCAAATGCATAGAAGTTCGTATCCGAGGACATGTTTTAGTGACAAATTTTGAAGTGTCACCAGCATACTGTGATTTGATATTACTAATTATTTATTATAAGCAATTTTTATTAATTTTATAGTATGTACCACTAAGTGATAAAGAAAATCAATGTTAGATTTCACATATGCTGAAATCTAAGTTGTAATAGTTTTGATACAATTCGTGTCACTAAGTGATATGTATTATTATAGCCTGAATATATTTCATCGCACATATTTTTTTACCCTACGTCCTTAATATACAACCATGCAATTACAAAACGTGACAAAAATGTGTCAATTGGTCAACGGGCGAGACTTCTTGACGCGGCAAGTCTACGGTCTCTCGTTCTCTCGATCCAAATCCAATGGCTCTCTCTTTCTTCTTGCTCTCTCATTGTTTGCTGCATTTCTTACTCTTGATCAAAGCTTGTGAGTTGACCAACAAAAGATCAAAGCTTGTGAGTTTTCTTTTTAAATTCAGTTCAATAGCCTTTACTTGTTCATATAATCTCTTTCTTTTATAAATCATGCATATTTTTACATTTTTAGTGTCTGGGCTTTGTTAGTTTTGTCCTAATTATTCTTTTGATTTTACATCATTTCGTATTTCATTGAATTAACTTTCTCTAATTCATGGTTTTGAGGTAGATCATGATTCTTGAGCTTTGTTACTGGTTCTTTGTTATATTATATAAGATCGTACAGTTAGAATTTTGTTCTTGCATATATATCTTTAATTTCTTAAGTTGGGTTTCCTTAATTTGTTGTGATCTCATAACACACACACACACACACACACACATATATATGTTTTTCTTAATTTGTTGTGATCTCATAATATATATATATATATATATATGTATGTATGTATGTATGTATGTATGTATATTTATCCTACATGGGAAGAGATCTTTATTTTCATTAAAAAATAGGGATTAGTTGTGGGGCCCACACCACATTGAATTTCAATGACCGAGCTGTCTATGTTTCAAGTTGCACCTCATAGATCATCTTTGCAAAATATTAGCCAAATCATAAATATTTGAGACATCTAATTGAGTTAAAAGCAATTGACGAAAACTTTGTTTTGTAAGAAATAATGAAATTTCATCATGATAATTAAATGAGCAAATAGTTTCGGATCGTATTGAATTTTTGCAAGAATGATCTATGAATCGAGACTTACAAAATAGATGGTTCGGATCGTTAGGCTCGATGTAGAGTAGGTCCAACAACTAATCCCCATTTTTTGGAAAAAATGAAAATCTTTTCCTATCATGTTTGATTTATAGTTCCCCATTTTGGTGTTTCTATAATTAATTTATAGGAGTTTCCACTCCTAATATCATTAATATCTTTTGTGATAAAATTCAACACCTAATAATAAATCATTAACTTAAAACAATATCGGTTACATCAATGGTGGACTATCTTAGACCTAGAAAGTTTATCAGGATGTCCGTATTCTAAATAGACCAAGTCCTACTTGCGGTTGTTTTCAGTTGCCTGGCATATGGCGCCATGAGTGGTGGGATTCGCACAAGCGTGAAAGGATGCATTAATGTGAAACGCGTCACTTTGACGTTGGAGCCGATAGATGAGAACAAAGAGAATGAGACCATAACTAGACATTTGATATTTTTACATTAGAAAGAGGGAGAGTTCGGTTAGCCACTAGTACTACTATTTTTACATTAGGAAGAGGGAGAGTTCGGTTAACCACACAATGAACAACCTAATTTGATATCGAATTCACCATCAACGAGATTCAAATCTAAGACCTTTCATTACCAAGTGAAGACGAATACTATAAGACTGTAATACTAAGTGGCATTGGTGCTTTTGATTGTCAAGTTTAAGATGTTGCTTGTCACTTCTGAAACAATTTTAGCCTTCCATGTAGTATTGGGGACAAAAACAAAAGTCCGAGTTGTATGAGTGAGGATCTTCTTTGTGAGGATTAGGGGTGAAAAAAATTTCCGAAAATCCCGAATCGAATCGAAAAAATTCTGATCCCAAATCAAAAATTTCTCAAACCAAAATTTGGTATGGAATTCGAGATTAGCTTCTCGATATTTTAAGAATCCCATACCGAACCGAAAATATATAATATTAATTATTATATATATATATATTTATACATATATATATTATTCTTTTATAATTGATGACATCCCACATCGTCCAGGGGAGTGATCCTTAAATGTATATTCTCATCCCTACCTAACACGAGGCATTTTGAGAGCTCACTGGCTTCGGGTTTCGTAGGAACTCCGAATTTAAGCGAGAAAGGGGCTAGAACAATCCCATGATGGGTGACCCACTGGGAAGTAGCCAGTGAGCTCCCAAAAGGTATTGTGACATCCCACATCGCCCATGGGAGTGATCCTTATATGTATATTCTCATCCTTACCTAACACGAGGCATTTTGGGAGCTCACTGGTTTCGGATTCCATAGGAACTCCGAAGTTAAGCGAGAAAGGGGCTAGAGCAATCCCATGATGGGTGACCCATTGAGAAGTTGCTTGTGAGTTCCCAAAATGCCTCGTGTTAGGTAGGGATGAGAATATACATTTAAGGATCACTCCCCTGGACGATGTGGGATGTCACAATTGATGCTAGTAGTTTCTAATTCATGCTTTGCAACTTGGAATGCCTTACACCTTGCATATTTTTCATGTTCTGGTTGATATTCATTTGGATTTTATTATTACTGCTGCCATGGCTGATGATTTCAGAAGGCTTGTTTCTTTTGTCTTTCAACAGATTGCAAAAAAGGTTTAATTAATTTGAATTTTGACTCTGATAAAAACAATCAGGTATGCTAGTGTTCGATTAAATGGTAGTGTGAATGAAATGAAATTCCTAGTTCATGAATGTGTTCTTGAATTATATATTTGAAGAACAATTCATAATTTCATATTTCAATTTGGAATTCCCGATTTGTCCCGAAATCTCGAAAATATTTCAGGATTCCCGAAAATTTGGTTTGGGATTGGTCTTCAAATTCTAGTCTCGAAAATTTTCGATTTGGGATTCGGGATACTAGTTTCGATATGGTATCCCATATCGAACCACCCCTAGTGAGGATCTCGGGGATCATCAAATCGTATCCATTTATCGTATATCGTGCTGTCAGTTTTCGTCAAATACTAATCATGTTTAATTTTAAATAAAAGTATTTAAAATGATTTATAACCGCACGATGTACGATGAACTGACACGATTTGAGGATTTTCAGGATTCTCACAAAGAAGATCAAGAGAAGATCCTCATTCGAGTTGTATAATTGTACAGTACGAATCGTTTGTTTTTAAACAATTTGATCCTAGTTTCTCAGAAAATATAAATTAATAAATTAATCCAAATCCACATGTGGTTAATAAGCTTAAAAAGCAAACGATTTGTATTAAGGAATGTTAATAACTCCCTAATACTGAAATCAATTGTTAATGAAGGAATCTAACAATGCTTGGAATGAAAACTTGTCATCCTTTTAGTTTAATTAATGTATGACGAGTTCAATACTTATGATTAAAGACTTGTTTGGAAACTTTTAAAATAACTGAAAGAGATTTAGAAAAAAATATTTTTAGATTCCAAAAGTGCATGAAGTACTTAATGCTTCTTGCAAGAAGCACTTCAAGTGCTTCTCCATAATTCACTTTTATTTTCAATAAGAACTGGTTCTGAAAATATTTTTACCAAAATTAATATTTCGACAATGTTTTTGGGCCTTAACTCGTTACCTCCACCAAACCAATTAAACTTTTGTAGGGGCTTTGCAACTTGAGGCCATGTTCTTTTCTACCAAATTGTTGACAACTGTGTGAGGTACAAGACAACGACGTCGTCCCCAGCTCTACGCATTCCATTTCATCCCTCAGATTATTATAGGCACCTCCGTCACGTAGGGTTGCAGCCGTCCGCATCCTCAAATCTTTTGACGCTTTCTTCTCCCCAATCAAAAACCCTAATTTTTTATTTCCATTTTGATCCCCATCTTTCTTTTTCTAAAAAAAATTTCAGTGCGTTGAGAACACAACGTAAATAGAAAATGTTATATACATTTGGTTGAAAAATTAAAAATGAAAAATTGAACTAATTATATAATTACACTTGTGGTACCGAGCAGCATTTCTGACACACTGAAATACCTCTCTTCTTTCTCTTCCCATTTTCCCACTCTTAAGACCAACTCCAATGGTGGGCTAAAAGCCAAATTACCACCCAAAATTTCCCCCCAAACGCACTCCAACCCAAGGGGAAATTTTGAGCTAAATGCTAAATCCTAAACTAATGCCAAATTCCCCCCGAAATTTTGCCCAGAAATCGGAGTGGACTCTACCCAATATTTATCGGAATTTAAATTTTTTTAGATTAAAATGTTCATTAAATTTATTTACGATAGTCTACATATTTATTTTTTAAAAAAATTTTAATTTAACAAAAAAAAAAAAGCCTAAATTCATTCTTTAATAATCCCGGGCTAAAATTTTAGGGTAGAATGGTTGGAGTAGAAAAACTGTTTTTGGGCTAAAAGCTAAATTTTTCGGGCTAAAAAATTTGACTTTTAGTCCAATCATTGGAGATGGTCTAATTCCGAGAAAATTCACTTTTTCGCTTTTTTATTTTTTAATACAAAATTATATTTCCCAAAAAGAAAAAACCACCAACCAAACCCAAAAGGACAAAATTCGAAAAGAAACCTCCATAACAAAACAGCTCAGTCCAAAGGTAAAAAAGGAGCGACCTTTTTCGCAGTTGGGATTTCTAGGGTTTCTTTCGAGGAGAAATCTGAGCCGTTCGAGGGACGATCTGAGAACCCAACCGAATGGCATCGCAGGGCCAGGGAGGGATGGACCCTGCCGTGCTCGACGACATAATCAAGCGGCTCACGGAGGTCCGATTGGCCAGGCCGGGTAAGCAGGTTCAGCTCTCGGAGGCGGAGATCAAACAGCTCTGTGGCGCTTCCAGGGAAATCTTTCTTCAGCAGCCCAATTTGCTCGAGCTCGAAGCCCCAATCAAAATTTGCGGTAGGGTTTTTAGATACCCACATGCATTTCGATATAGTATATAATTTATTTTCCTGAAATTTTTACTGGCACTAAATTCTATTTGAAAATTTTCCCTCTTTTGTGATTTTGCATGTTTTGATGGGTTTTTTGTGTGTGATTTTCTGATTGGTTTTCTTTTATTACTTGTCTGATATGAAATTACTTGTGGGAAATACTGTGGCAGATTAGATTTGAAGTTATTTGCGGTTGATATTGTAGTTTATGGCGTACCCATATTTATTTTTCTGTCGATTATCAAAGTTTTACTTTGAAAGGGAAAACATAAAATCTGTTGCAGAAGTAGCTCAGCTTAGCTTTATCAGTGGCAAGCTACATTAGTAAATTATATACATACGGTGAATATGCGTGTTCATTTGCTGGTTATTGATGTTCTGATAAACAAGTGCTCGTTTTTCTTGTACAATGGGTTGATAGTTGTCTTGTATTTAATGTAGTTATGACTAGATTTTGGCTTTTTGATGATGTTATGTGCTGTTTAAGTTGGGGTCAATAACCCATTTCGTGTTAGTTTATTCCCATTTCCTGCAAAAATCTGGATATCCGACTCTAGTGTTTAATTGCTAATACTGCATTCGTAGAAGTAAGAGCTTGGAATTTTAAGTTGCCGAGTTATCATGTGTGTTTCTTTTCATAACTGTTTGTCCAATTTAATTGAAATCCTTGGTGTGCATTGTTCAATATTGTGTGCATTGAAACTATTGGTGTTTTTTTTACCTTCATTTGGGGAAATAAGGTTATCATGTAACCATGATAAAACATTGACACAGGTGACTCGGTGCAATCTGAACTTAGGTTTTGTATGACAACAGTATAAGGGTTGAAGATTAAAAAATTATGCATCATACTATGACTGTGATTAGTGAGTGAGTAGATCAGTCAAGGGTTTGGTAGTTAATTATATAAAAAAATTTCCAGATTGTATCTCCAGATAAAGTCGCTAGTTTGCTCACTGTAGCCCATAGGTTTGTGGTTGTTTCGACTATTCTTTTAAGTTCACAGTTATACTTGTCCTTTTGTCCCAGGCTTTACGTTTCTGACCTGAGTTTTCCATTTTATCTACAGGTGACATTCATGGACAATACAGTGACCTTTTAAGGCTATTTGAATATGGTGGTTTTCCTCCCAGTGCAAATTATCTGTTCCTAGGTGACTATGTGGATCGTGGCAAGCAGAGTTTAGAAACAATATGCCTCTTGCTTGCCTATAAAATTAAGTATCCGGAGAACTTCTTTCTGCTGAGAGGAAATCATGAATGTGCTTCTATTAATCGTATCTATGGATTCTATGACGAGTGCAAGCGACGATTTAACGTGAGACTTTGGAAATCCTTCACAGACAGCTTTAACTGCCTTCCTGTGGCAGCTCTTATAGATGACAAAATTTTATGCATGCATGGTGGTCTTTCCCCTGATTTGACAAACTTGGATCAGATCAGAAACTTGACTCGTCCAACTGCTGTTCCTGATACTGGATTGCTTTGCGATTTGCTATGGTCAGATCCTGGTAGAGATGTTAAGGGATGGGGAATGAATGACAGAGGTGTCTCGTATACATTCGGCGCTGATAAGGTGGCAGAATTCTTAACGAAACACGATTTGGACCTTGTTTGTCGTGCTCATCAGGTTAGTGACTATTCTTCTTCCCTTTCGTTCTACTCAAGCTAACTTCGTTTGGAACTGAAACAAGTTCTTTTTCTGTAGGTTGTGGAAGATGGTTATGAGTTCTTTGCGGACAGGCAACTTGTTACAATTTTTTCAGCTCCCAACTACTGTGGTGAGTTTGACAATGCTGGTGCAATGATGAGTGTAGATGAAAACTTAATGTGCTCTTTCCAGATTCTTAAGCCAGCTGAGAAAAAATCCAAGTTCATGATGTCAACAAAAATGTGATGTTGCAATATCACTGCTCCAGCCTTGAACTAGGTCAGCTGATTATTGTTGCATTCACTAGCTTTCTCTGTGTGTGTGTGTGTCCGTGTGTGTCCGTGTCATGTTATCTACGTTATTGTTGTAGTTCTGTTGCATTTGTGTAAGTGAATGTGCAGCTATATGGGAATTATTACTTATTACACTAGCTGGGTGTGAGTGTGCCATGCCATATGCCATCTATGTTATTGCTTTACTTTTTTTAATTTTCCAGATGTGTGAAGGTTCATGTGCACCTATATGTGAATGTTATTAATTATTTGTTATCCTTCTTATCCTTGGAAGGCTTGTGTAGTTTACAAACTCTGTTAATTTATTTATTAATCTATAAATTCAATCTCCATTGATTTCTTATATGGTCATCAATTAGTTATGTTGTTTATTTTTCCTATTTGTCTTCAAACATTTGGGACCACATTTCTTTAAACATGAACACCGTGAAGATGCACGTTTGAGGTTTTACTTTGAAAAGGTAGGTTTATTTAATCTTTAGGAATTAACATATCTCAGCAGTTTTTATGCCATTTCACTGGAACCTAATATTTTTTCGGTAAGGGTTCTTTCTCTCCCCTCTCCCCCTCCTCTCAACTTTAGGAGATACATTTTCTAGTGTGACTTGAATTGTTGTCTTTCTTTAAGAACAGAAGCAAAACACTGGCCTTTCAATGAATATAATTCGGATTTCTTTAAGGCACTTTTTGCTTGGCAATATCATTGGATCATGTCTTCATGATTGGTCGTCTAGTGTCAAACTATGTGCTTTGAATAACCTTACAGTTGCTAGTTATCAGTTTGAAGACATTGTTTTGCATGGATCAATGGACGGATGTTCCCCTGCTACAACAAATTGTTTCAGACTTCGTTGTATTGCTAGCTACATGCTTGTTGCCTCATGATCTGGTAGAAGTCATAACTATACTTAGGTCTTACTAGTCAGGACCAAATTTCCTTTCTCAATCATATGGACCAGTAATATTGCCACACATTTCCTATTGAGTTTTAAAATTTAATGAACTTTTCACACTTTCACAATAAATGAACGCACTCGACAATCATTGGTTTAAAAACAAGAAGACATGTTTTATGATATCATTGATCCTGGTTAGTCAGGTCCCAAGCATTGTCCATTACTAAGCAGTAGTATGGTATGAGTGGGTTGTTTTTTACGGTTAAGATGCACATTTTGAATCGAGCAAACTGAGGTATTGCATAGTGTACTTGGTTTGTAATTTATTGATGCAAGTCATTTTGGCCCTATCTTAATGAGCCCAATTTCAACCCCTTTGATTTTTTACTATTCTGAACAGTGCTCTTAGAAAAGATCCTGTAGTTCCGGCGCTGGCCTTGTGATTATGCAGATTCTTGTTAACTTTGACTTGTTTATCGTGTGTTGACCGATTGCAATGCTAGTCTATGTGCTAATTGCAACACATCAGTCTGTAACTTTCTGCCATTTCCCTCTTTATTTACTTGTTTGTCCTCTTGCAGGCAGTTTTTCCCTTCTTTTGTGGGGCAACTTGGCGGAAAATGAAGGTTGGCCCGCCTCAGAACTTTCCTTCATCTCTAGTAGAATCCAAGTACTTAAGCTGGGGAGAAGCTATGGAAGTTGGTTGTTGGGAGAAATACTCTGGAGTCGCCTGAGGCAGAAGCATTTTATATTTCCTCGTTCCCCTTTCTCTGTAATGCGTATTCCGCAACGTTTGTGTACATATAATTTGGTCTGTCGACGCAATGCTGTGCTTTCCATGGAGGCCAACAGCAATGGCGTCATTTCACTCCCCAAAGAAGTCTCCAGTTTTCTTAGAGTATTAGCAATATAACTCATTGATTGAACGGTTTGTTAACGACGCTTTAAGCTTACTTTTGGTGTTAAGAAATGGTCAATTGCTACTGGTGGCTCTGTTTGTGTTGCATCTTATTATTTTGGTCAAGGCATCAAGAATTTTGTTTTTTCCAATCTTGCTGATTTATATATGGCCGTTAATGTGACGAAAATATACGGATCACAGTTTGACACGTGCATCTAAACGTTTCTTTTTGGGAGTGTAACGAATTACTTTTGCACCCGTTAGATTGTGATTTGCATTGCATTAGGGAGCCAAACACCCAAATCCTTTAATGGAAAGAGAAATTTCTTAGTATACTGGAAATACAATTCGGTACACGAAGTGTTCGAATACAAGTGATTGGATACTTAAAAAAAATCATTTCAACCATTTTTATTTTGAACTTGGTGTACGGGGCAGCGTTTTAGAACTTACAGAATCAAACGGCTGTGGCCAGTTTTGTTTAAGATATGTTTATTTATTTTGAATGAATGAAGTCTGTATCATATCGAATATAAGAAATAAGTATTGGCCACTCTTCTTAATTTATTTTGTTAAACGATAAATTTTATTAGATTAAATTAGACGTTAAATTAGTAAAAGGACTCTTACCTCTCTGCCAGATTTAAAATTTTCGCCCTCCTTTTTTCATTTTCTCAGTAGGGTTTTTCCCATTCGACAAAAGCCCATTTTTTTTAAATTCAAACAAATAAATCAAAAATTTTTAAAAACCACCACTTCCTTTTCGTGATTTTATTTCACAATTTCTTCGACCTCATTTTCAAAAACAATCCGAGAAATACTTACAACTGAATTTTCCGGGGAATTGGAGCTTGGTAGATTCGAAGAAAGAAGGAAAGAAAACACAAATCGGAAAAGTTGGGAAGAAAGAGGGGGACAATGAGTACTGGGTTGGATCCGTCGATGACTTTGCTGGCAGCAAGCGGCGGTGACACCGTGAAGCTCTTCGATGTGTCGGACAAGTCCGCCGATCCCCTCGTTTTGAGCTACACTCCTTCTCCTGGTTCCCATGTCAATTCGCTCAAGTGGAATCACACCAGTCAGTCTCTCTCTCTCTCTCTCTCTCTCTCTCCCCCCCCCCCCAATTGGATGATGGTTTTTGCTTTCTGCTGTCTCTGTTTATAGGTTTTGAAAAAAAATTTGATCTTTGTAAACGAGAAAATTTTGGTCAATTTTTGCTGCATTTTCTTAGCTGCCAAACAGTGGGTTTAGTTTATTCAATGTGGATTGTGTTTTGCAGATATGGTGGTGGCTAGTGCTGGAGATGACAAGAAGTTATCGTTGTGGAATAAGAATGGGAAGAGCATGGGCACCATTCCGCTGGCCGGAACCGAAAGCGGAGACGGCATTGAGGTAATTCAGTTACAATTATATAATTGAAGTAGATTTGGTGTGACAGTAATGTGAAAAAATAAATGCTTGAGAGAATGTGTTGGGTTGGTAGTTGATATTCTGCTGGTGGAACTATTTATGCAGGAGTCAATATTGGCTCTCAGCTTCGGTAACAAGGTTTCTAGATACATCTGTTCCGGTGGAACCGGTCAGGTTGTAAGAATATGGGATTTGCAGAGAAAGCGATGTATCAAATGGTTGAGGGGTCACTCTAGTACGATTACGGGTGCAATGTACAATTGCAAAGATGAGCACTTGGCTTCCATCAGTCTTAATGGGGACCTCATACTTCACAACCTTGCATCTGGTGCAAGGACTACTGAACTCAAGGACCCCAATCAACAGGTTGTCTTCTCTTTGAATCTTTCCGCTGAATATTACCGTAGTCTTTGTGGCTTTGAGTCCTTAGTTTCCAACCTAATTGGTTGTTTGCTGGTTTTTAAGACCAGGTACTAAGAGTGCTTGACTATTCCCGGATTAGCCGACACCTTCTTGTGACAGCAGGTGATGGAGGTTCTGTACATTTGTGGGACACAACCGCCCGTAGCCCAAAGGTTTGTAGTAGGTTTCATCAAATATTGATGCTGAGCTGGGTTGTCTTGGTCTTTTGTGTTTGCATTCCCATTGGGAGATGGAAATTAAATTTTGTTCCCAGTCATGGAAAACAGGCATATTTGAAATAGAGATTAGTTACATTGCCTTTTTTTTTTCTTTTTTTTTTTTACAACTTTCCGACTCCCCAAACCCAAAGCATTGATCTTTGATAGCAGCAATGGTCAAGTATTATCCCCTTGTTAACTTTCTTGTTTATCACTTCCGCTGTATTAAATCTAGGCATTGTTGTTAAGTTGAAAAATACTCACTTCCCCTATTGAGTCTTGTTTCTCTTAGTTTATGTTTTACTTGTAATTGAATTGGTTTGTTTCTTTCTTCTTATCTTCCCTTTTTCAAACTCTTTTACGCAGGTTTCTTGGCTGAAGCAGCATTCTGCACCAACTGCTGGGATCAGTTTCTCTCCATCGAATGACAAGGTCTCATAAATGCGTATAACTTTACATTTTGTAGTCCATTATTTTTTATAAGACAAGAAGGCTATCTATCATGTGCTACTAAATTGTGAAGATTTTTCTTAGAGTCAGAATATGTAGAGAGGTATTAACTAAGCCTTCTGATATTCAAAATATTTTCCTCTTGATAGATGTTTGCTACAGTTGGGCTTGATAAGAAGTTGTATACTTACGACACAGGGTCGAGACAACCTTCACATTGTATTTCCTATAAAGCACCTTTCTCTTCATTGGCATTTAGAGATGATGGTTGGGTATTGGCAGCTGGGACAAGCAGTGGTGATGTGGTGTTCTACGATGTCCGTGGTAAACCAGAGCCTTTCACTGGTATTCGTGCTTATAGTAGTTCAGAGGTCTCTCTCTCTCTCTCTCTCTCTCTCTCTCTCTCCCCCTCTCTCTCTCTCTCTCTGCACTGTTCCTTGAAACATTGAATTTTGGAAAAAATAGTGTTGTCTCTAGGATTTTTTATTTTCCTATCCTTTAAATTCCAAATTATTTAACAGTAGGTGTCGTTTTCATTATTAAGGATCAAGATACCTCATCATGAGGATTAGGGGTCAGGCTCAAACTTTCGATCATCCCTGGTTAGGTAGATATATCACAAGGATGTTCTCATGGGGACACACAATAGGGTGTTTAGCTTTTAACAAGCAGTCTACATGTATGACTCAGTAGGGTGTTTCACTTTGTACTAATCGTTTATAGTATTCATCAGGCTGTTACAAGTCTATGCTGGCAAAGGTCAAAACCTGTCGTTGTAAACGAAAGCAATTGTACTGTTGAGACTGCTCTTTTAGGAGATGCTGTTGAAGATTCAATCCTTATGCCTGACCAACTTCCTTCTGTGACTTCATCAAGTCTTCCTCTATCTACGGCAGTATCTAGTTCTCGAAATTCAGGCCGTTCAAGTTTATCTGCAGAGACATCTTCAGTTACAGCAGCTGGCAGTGGACTAACATCAAGCATACTTTGTGTATCTACTGGAGAGGATACACCGCAACGAGGCCGTTTGTGGCCTGGTGGAACATTGCATAGATTGCATCCTCCTCGATCTACTTATAACTTCAAGGATGATATGGAGGTGTTCTCCCCTCTTGTGGACGTTCATCCAATCACACCTTCACTTGACAAACTTTGGGATGATGACAAATTGAAGAAGGATAATTTGTCCGGTAGGAGATTCCCTTTTGCAGAAGATGGGGCCAGTGATCATCCAATATTTGATTGGAAACCCAGTTCAACATCTAAACAGGTCTCAGTTATCCATATCTTTAATTTTTCTTGGATGAATGCTTAATGTGAAATGTTCCATTTTTTTTTTTTTTTTTTTTTTAACAAACGATATTATCTACAGTACGTAGAACTATTTTAAACTTCTTAACAATTGTTTTTTCGACTAACAAGTTCAGTTCTTACAATTATGATTTCTGGACTAGCATGTCTTTATTGTTCTGTAAATGGTAAACCAAATGAAATGTTAGATTGAACGTAACCATGTATGCTAGGCAGGTAAGAGTGTAGTTACTTCTATGTAATTAAATTCATTTGCTATTTTTGGGGTGGGGGTGTTAAATTTCATGATGCCTTTGTTGCATATGCATTGTTCTGAATGATAATTTGTGTTATTTTTTGGTGCAGGACGACATAAAATCGTCATTTGCACTATTAGAATCAACTCCTGCACCGTCTTCCAAGAGTGAAGACCCATCCATCACCCCTCCAGAAGCTTGGGGTGGTGAGAGATTTTCTGATAAGTTCCGCCAGCCAATCACTTTTACATCTCGCATTGGGATGTCGGCTCAGACATCAGGATCAACTTTATCTGGACTGCCAGATATGTCTTTAACAGCAAAGTTTGCAAATTTGCGCACCAAAGATTTGTCTTCCATTCAGGAGACTTCATTAGGATTTCAAGAACACATTTCTTCAAGTGCCATGCCTATGTCCCCCGGTAACAAAGCCCTCCTGGGACAGGCTAACCTTGATTCACCAACATCTTTGACGTTGCCTCGGAGATTCTCAACTTATGCAGAGAGGATAAGCACTACATCTAACTTCAATGATCGAACGTCCCTAGCAGTGAGTTCACCAAAAACAAAGAAAACAGGAGCCGAAGGCAGAGAAGAACTGTTGAATAGCTTCTTGTCAAAGTCAGATACATCAACTGCCACAGAATCAGGGGTTCTTCCAGCAGTGAATGTATGGGTAACAGATTTATTGGATAAGTCATCGTCTTTGATTTTGCTCATATCACATGCTTTCACCTCTTGATTTTATGCTGTCATTCAAATTGGAAACCAGTGATGGAATTTGTTAGGAGAAGCCACCACCGATGTTTATCATGTTGCCCTTTACTGTCGTACCAGAATATTATTGTTAACTCAACGATGATGATTGTGACAGGGTGGAAGTTCGCATCTCCAAAATGCACCCCAACAAGATGCACAGCAGGGAAGCTCCTTTACATTTCAGATTTTTCAACGTACTCTAGAAGAAACTCTCGATTCTTTTCAGAAATCCATACACGAAGATATGAGGAACCTTCATATAGAAATTTTAAGGCAATTTCATATGCAAGAGGTACGCATCTGCTATGTTGTTGTTCCCTTTTCATTTTCATGTCGTTCCTAATGCATTTTCTGGAATCGTTTCACAGACGGAAATGTCAAATGTGATGACTGCAATGCTGGAAAACCAAGCTGAGCTGATGAAAGAAGTTAAGTCTCTCCGGAAAGAAAACCAGCAGCTCCGGCAATTGCTTTGAGCATCGGTGACGTTTGTTAATTGTTTCGATTATTTTTTGTGGATTTGGGATACGTCTGTTGTTTCAGTGTTGTAATTTGCTCTCCATCAGTGGTCGTTTGTTCTATAGGTAGACTAGAATTACTTCTCTCGGCCGGTGGGGCGAGGTTTAAAGCACAGGTAGAAATGCAAGTGCTATAGGAAGTAGAGTTTGTGAGCATGTACAGAATGATCATTCCCTGCTAGAATGAAGGCTTTGATTCGGGTGAAAATTATAAGCATTGTCATGTTTCAGCTCCTACTGCTCCACTCCTACTGTTACACAATCGAGCTCGTCTTCAATTCTCTTGGACGTGCTTTTAGGGTAGAAGATCCCGACTCGCATAGAGTATTGATGCACTTCCAAACGAGCACTAAGTCAGCGAACTTATGAGAGATCTTCAAGGGATGTTAACTAAAATGATTTGATTTTCTGAAAAGCATGACTGAAATTGCAGATATTATTGTCTTTCATACAAACAAATCCGTCGACAAAGAATTGAAACGTCTCAACAAGGTCGTGTTGTTATAGCGATACAGGGGTGAGGAAAATAGCCCCACCCTCAAACAAAACGCCGGCATAAATTTTAAGCCGGTATCTTGTTTAAATTGTAGCCGCTAAGAAACACCGACGCGAAATATGTCGCAGTTGAGAACGTACAACATGTAGCAGAAGCACGTTGAGGCAGTCGGCACTTAACCACCTCGGAGTCCATGGGAAATTAGAACCGTTCATGGCTTTTCCCACGCGAATACAGAAAATCTTGAAGTTCGACAGACTTGCAAATAGGAGGCTTCAGCTTTGTACTACGCCTCATTTCTTGATGAATCTCAACACATCGCCAACAAGATGTAATGAACCAGTTACAAGGACCTGCTATATAAACTTTGGTTCCATGAAAACGAAAAATAAAAATGTACATTACTCTCCTAAAAAACCAGCATTACCTGAAAACGAACAGATTTACTTTGCCGGACACTGTCCCTGAGCCATTGTATAGCTGACGGGAGAGATGGAAAAACTGCACTATTTTCACAACTTTTGACAGCGATTTCCTTATCATCTGTTAGTTCTTCACGAACAGTGCCTGCGCTATTGTCATCGCCTCCTATCAAAGTAAAAAAATACAAACACTTCCAACTGGGAAATACAGTGCACTCCTGAATTATATGGTATGTGTGTGTGTGTACAAATGTTGTTTGAAGACCAAGTTGACATTTTATGTTATAAGCCACATACCTTTGTTACACATCATTAAATTTTCCCACACTTTTTGAAGAGCGAACTGCCACGACAAATCCACCTGAGAATCAGTCGGAGGCAAGGAATGCGATCCGACCTTGTGATTCACTGATGTGTTTGGTACAAACAGAGCCTTCTTGAAGTAGACACCTAAAACCATATCTCATAAGTTCCCTCGAAAAATAGTTCAAGATAGTTGAAGGAAGTTGAGGTACCGCCATAAAACCAATTGGCAATAGAGGAGTGGCCTAATTCCTTGTAAACCCGTCCAAACTTTCCAATCACGGATCCTCACAAAATTCATTGCAGATCAAAATATAAAGAACGAATCTGAACCTATAAATTCCCCTTAGATCTTCAAAACTTACTAGACGAAAATTCAGGGGATTACATCAAGTGATGCTTATGCTCACCGTGACTAGCACATGTTTTCATCAGGTTCGGAAGAAGCAACTGAGGATCCCTCACTGACATACAATTAAACAGCAATATCTGCAAGTGTTTATCAACGTATTTTTCTTGGTAACAGCAAGAGGAAAATGAATATCTCCAAGGCTTGTAAAATAAAGCGTCTACCTGTTCTGAATTCTTCCTGACTGTTTCAATAGGGTGCCTCTGTACCCAATCATGTGATGATCTAGAAGTACCGGGTGGCTGAACAGAATGAGAAAACCATCTTGCGCATATTTCCATGCTTTCTGGGCTATGTGCACCGTCCAAATAAAACACGAGATCTTCAGGGCTTTCGCTGTTAATAAAGCGATCAGGGACTATTTGAGCCCGTCCTTGTAAACTGACTTTAGCAGTTAGTCCTTTTATGTATTGCTCCGGCAGAGAAGTCTGTTCCATTTGGATATGCATATAGATCCATCAACATAGATATCAAGAACAAAGCGGAGAACTGATTGCTCATAGAACTTACACTATGTTCAGGGTATTCAAGGTGACCGGTCCTCTGGAGCCAGGTAGAGGACAGTGCAATAGCAAGACCAGCATTAACATACTGGTGCTCGCCTTCAAGCCCAAGTTTTAAGCCATTCAGCATATTAGGATCCAACGGTCGTACGAGTTGAAGGGGTACCTGGAACCAGCATAATCTCTCAGTTCATTGAAGACGTATTCTGTGAGTTATCTATTTAGCTCATGTTCCTTCCAACATAGTACTTATGACTCAACAACTTTGTAGTCCTTAAAGAACCTAAATTCAGAATCCTACGGCTTCCGATAAAACAAACGTATCCTAGGATTGCAGAAGAATGCAAGTTGAGACTTAAGCAGCAAAGGGAGCCAGTGAAGGTTTAAGAGCATGTCAGTACTTAAAGGGGTTCTTAAAACAACAATGTGCACAGAACGTATCTCAAAACTTTGATCTGTTCGTTAGGAGTTCATCTACTTATTAGATGACCGCTTGTATATTACAGTTTTTCTAGAAGAGACATCAAATTTCTTACATTCTGTATCATGCATTTTCAATTCTGGGGGAAACAAAAATCAGTGAAGGGTAATGTCATGCAACCTACATCCAACCGAGAAGCCTTCTCTTCCAGTACATGCATTGCTTCATCAGGTTGAGGCACAGTCAAGGCAGGAACCCTAGACTGAATTGAAAGCAAAAGCAATGGGCACGGTAACAGAAGTGAGTGTAAGTTCTGTGAGACATATTACCAGTCATCATATACATATGAAAAATGTAATTTTAACGAAAACCTTGAAGATTCCAGCCTTCTCCCCCGCAATTGCTCCCAGAGTATTTCCTATTTATAGCATTCAACAAAGAAAACAGAATCAATTATGCGTATTAAACATCTGTGGACATGTATTAATCTTTGTATATCGTGTTGCTAGACAATCTGGACCACACATTCAAGCAATAATCCACTTGATCAATGGCCCAAAATGACAGTTCGACACCAGAACATGCCAGCTAGTAATTGTATCGCATTGCAAATACAGAAAACATTTGCATATGTTCTTTGTATTTATATTTTCAATTAAAATGTTTCAATTACTCACATGTAAATACATAGGTTTGAGAAAACACTAACCAAGAATCTCCATGTGGTCATATCCGAGGGAAGATATACCACAGACAACAGGTGCCTGAACCTGAAACGTTAATGCATCCGTACTCGGTTATTGTCAAAGTAAGCGAATTAATGAATTTCGTACTCAAATACCATTTCACATACCACATTTGTTGCATCAAACCTACCGCCTAACCCAACCTCCAAGATAGCAACGTCTACCTGCATAGAAGATTAAATTAAAAGCAACATTTCTGATTCACATCATCGATATCAGTAACATTTCTGGAGAGGAAGATGTTACATGGAAGCAACTGAGAAGATATGCTCCAAACCTGTTCTTCTGCAAATATTTTGAAGGCAAGCAAGGCAAGGAAGCGAAAGTAGGTAGGCATTGGTATATCGTCAGTAGCTTTTTCCTGCATTTGAAATACAAAGTTCTACATTGATCAATACATCGCAGAACGAAAAAGTGCTAATTCACAATTACAAACACAGGCATCGAAATATTAGAAAGACGCCCAGCAAAGATAAAAGGCAAACCAAGCACGGATTACCTCAAGTCTCTCGAAACACCACCAGAAATATGCTAAAAATTTCTCTTCATTGATGTCCACACTGTAGCAATCAACCAAAACAAGAAAATTTAATTTTTTGAAGGCAAACACATTGCATAAAAACTTACAAAACTTACTTGGTAACATGGCAGTTATATGAAAACAGCTAAGCCTACGCTTACCCTAAACTCACCCGTCCAACCGAAATCTTTCTCGAACATCAATGAGATGAGGAGACGTGAAAAGTCCAGTGCGAAAACCGCAATGGCGTAATATCGACTCTGTGAAGGTGCAGGTGGATCCCTTTCCAATCCCCCCAAACAAGAAAACAGCAATCAGTCCCACATCATACATAAACAAGTAACTAAAGCCAGTGTATATATACAGTGTCACACTGCTAAAAAAAAGCTTGTATCTTCACCCTAAACCACATATTTTACAATAAAGGGTAGCGATTTTCAACGCTTCTCTTGAACCATCTGCGCTCTAAACTGAATATATTACAATTTTTTCCGCACTCGCAAGTCACAAGAGAAGTGTGAAAATTACTAAACTCCAAAATTGTGTATATACCTTGCCTTTGGTGCCAGCAACGTGAATAATCTTCATCTGTGCAATTGGCTCCTCCAACTCCAGAATCTGCATGTTTTATTACATAAACGCCATTAATTACTCGAATTTGCAAACACATGAGCTCAAATACGACGTCGCTTAACCAGTGAATAAAGCTCAGTATTTTTCATAAGCGAAAGAAAATGTACTGTGAGATAGTCGAAGAGGAGGTCGAAGCGGTCGCCCTTGTTGCTCTTGTCGGCACGACTGCGTTTGGTGATCAAGGAGGATAGAGCGGCCAATGCCTTCTCGTAGGGAGTTGCCGGAGGCGGCGCCGAGGAGCCATTGCCGCCTGCATGCAAAATAACGAATGAATAGACGGGACGAGGAGGAGGAGGAGGGGGTCGTATAATTTCGTATTTACCTGCTTCCACCATGGCGAGCGGAGTGGTTGGTTTAGATCTGAATCGAAGGGAGAGTAATATGTATAGAAGGTGAGTATTTAAGCGCTAAAAGATTAAGGGATTGGGGTTGAAAGGTTGAAAATATAAGGAACAAAGACATGGTGACGTGATGGATTAGCAAACGAACAAACCAAACAATTTTCTGCTGTGCGCATATACCCTCTGCCAAGCCTGTCATAGTTAGTTAAAGACCTAACCGCCCGTGACTCGGGCTAGGGACTCCGCTCCTGGGAACGTGGACACCCATGCTGGAGGCCATGCCAAACGTCCTAAGCTAGTTTCGTGTCAGTTAGGATTACGGTTTAGTAGTATTTTTCTTTAGCTGTAAAGCTAGGAGCGGGAAGTTTCAGTTCGATTCTCGCCAAAAACGAATTGAACTAAATTATTGCTAACCCAGTATGAGACTTAGACATGGTTTGGTACTCAGGTGATTCTGAAAAAAGCTGGTATCAAAAAAAGCTAGGAGTTGTTTTTGTGTTTGGTAAACATTCAGCTTCAGCTTTTTTTCATAGTTTTTGGTGAAAAAAAAGCCAAAAACAAGAAGCTGCAAAACCCAGCTTTGAAAAATCGGCTTTTTTCACATCTGTTTTACATAAAAGTTTACCAAACACTATAATACTGTTTTTTTTTTCAAAAGCACTTTTACAAAAAAATTTACCAAACACTTTGCTGCTTTATTTCACAGCCGCTTATTCTCACAGCACAGCAGAATCAGCTTTTTTTCAAAGCACAGTAATACCAAATCAGCCCTTAGCCGACCCTAACCCCTTTAATATAAATAATATCATTTAAGGAAAAAAAAAAATCAAATCATCTGAGTTAAAAAAAATAAAAAATAAAAAAGGAAAGAAAATATGATTGTGACAAAAAAAATAAAGTTTCAGTTTCTCGCCAAAGACGAATTGAATTACATTATTGCTAGCCATGTATCAGGTTTAGTCCACACTCTATCATTTTAGTGTAGATATTATCGTTATTAAAAATATGATTATGATGAAAAAATAAATCGAACCAAATAATATAATATCTTGATTAGGCCGCAATTTTAGCGTAAAAGCCGATGCAGACCCCAAATTCTATTTGTATCAAATCCATGGCAAATCCAAATACAATATTAAACCCAATTACCAGCTTTAGGCCCAAGGTAAGACCGTACAACTATATCAAACGACAAACGGTGATTCTCTTCTGGCGTATCTGACGGTGTGCCGTCTCAGCCACAGCTCATACATCAACGTATAAAACGAATCGAACGGCTCCGGTGTCTCGTTCCACATAAAGTGCCGACTTGCAGCCACACCTAATTTTCTCATCTTTTCGTGCCGCTCCCAACACGCGCGACCCAACACGCGCTTCAGGTCCCTCACTACGCCGCCACGACGTCCCACGAACAACGCGATCTCCTGCCACCTCAGCACGTCCGAGAACGGCAGGTCGTGGATCGGACGGTCAGTAATCACCACCGGCACGCACCCGAAACGCAGCGCCTCCCCGATCCCCGACACGTCGCCTCCTCCGTACTCGAACAGACAGAATTTGCTCCCACCGAGTCTGTCCGCGAAAGTATTCAGATCCGACGGCTTGGATTCGATCAGAAAATCGGGGTCGCTGCTCAGTTCCTTGACTAACGTTGACTCTTTGACCCAATCGAACTTGGCGTAGCCCAAGAAACTCGCGGTGTTGCTCGTCGGCGCGGGAGTGCTCGGGACCGGCGGAAGCGAAATGTCCTTGTGAGGGATGAACTTCCCGGCCGGCGTCGGGAAGCACGAGATCTGGACCGAGTTTTTCTTCAACCCGACGAGATTCCGGTCCGATTCGAACCCGATGCCGGTGCATGAGAGGTAGAAATGGTCGGCACCGAGGGTGCGGTTCCAGTAGGGAAGCTCGGTGCGGAGCGATCTGATGAGGCGCGAGACGGAGCGCGGGGGAAGGTCCGAGGGGAAGGGGACGAAGAAGAGATGGGCTTTTTCGGGGTTTTCGGTGGGGAAGTGGCTGTCCTGGAGGCGCGTGTAGAAGAGCGATTGGGATGGGGAGATAAAGGGGAAGGTGCTGTCTGAGTTGTAGATGAAGATTTTGAAGGAATGGAACATGTTTTGGTAATTTGGGTGAATTGTGTTGGGTGAGAGGTAGGGGGGAGTGAGGGGTTGGGAATGGGCAGCGAGGACGGTGGAGAGAGAGAAGTGGAGTAGGAGGATCCGGAATATGGATGATTGATTGATCCTCCAGAACTCCAAAAAAAAGATCCTTTTCCGATTAATACAATGCTGAGATAATCATTGTGCTAATATAAAACTAGATTAGCAATTTTATAAGAATGTACTTTTTAGTGTTAATTGTTAATTGAGATAACTAAATTTGTAGGCTAAATTTTGTAAATTAAATGAAATAGAGGTTAATTATTGAATTATCATTTCAGTGTTGATTAACGTGCTTATTTTTTAAGCTAAACTTTTATCTTTAATATGGACCGCTCACAACATCAACTTTTACGTGTGGCATGTTTTCGCTTATACATAAACAATTCTGATTTGGTGGCGTTGTAGTTTGTGAAGTCATTAGATCTGTTAATGAATAAAAATTGCTAGTATTATACAAGAATGTAAGCATGTAACTTAAATAAAAGAGGGTTTTTTCTTTTTTTTTTAAATAAACGATATTAATTATACTAAAATGGCATAATAGTGGACTAAACCTCATAACTAATTTGTGAATATAAGTGCTCCAAATCAATGTCATCATTCCATACTTTTTTGTTAACTACTCTTTTAGTATAGCGACATTGCATAGGCATGGGAGCAATATGTCCAATCAAGGGTAAATTATATTTTACCTCTTCAAGTTTGGGTGCAATTACAACTTTATACATTTTTAAAACATTTTAATCTCATACACAAATTTTATATTTTGTTACAATTTCATACATTCGTTAGTCAAACCGTTAATCTAACTAATGAATGTATGAAATTGCAACAAAATACAAGTTTGTGTATGTGATTGAAATATTTTAAAGATATTGTATGATGTTGCAATTGCACCTAAACTTGAAAGGATAAAATGTAATTTATCCAATTAAAAAACACCACGTAATAACCACCATAAAATCATGATGTGAAATTCCAACGAGACCATAAATATCTTTAAATAATATAATTTCATTCTGAATTAATATAAAGAAAAATTAAGGGCCCTTCCATTGTTTTTTCTTCTTCCATACAACCACTGTCACATCCCCGCCCAGGGGGAATCACTTCCCGGGCCCGCTCCACCACCGTAGCACGATATTGTCCGCTTTGAGCTTACCATTCCCTCACGGTTTTGTTTTTGGGAACTCACGAGCAACTTCTCACTGGGTCACCCATCATGGAATTGCTCTAGGCCCCTTCTCGCTTAACTTCGGAGTTTCTACGGAACCCGAAGCCAGTGAGTTCCCAAAAGGCCTCGTGCTAGGTAGAGATGGGAATATACATATAAAGATCATTCCCCTGGGCGATGTGGGATGTCACAATCCACCCCCCTTAGGGGCCCGACGTCCTTGTCGGCACACACGCGACCAGGGTTAGGCTCTGATACCAAATTGTCACATCCCGGTCCAGGGGGAATCACTTCCCGGGCCCGCTCCACCACCGTAGCACAATATTGTCCGCTTTGGGCTTACCATTCCCTCACGGTTTTGTTTTTGGGAACTCACGAGCAACTTCACAATGGGTCACCCATCATGGGATTGCTCTAGGTCCCTTCTCGCTTAACTTCGGAGTTCCTACGGAACCCGAAGCCAGTGAGCTCCCAAAAGGCCTCGTGCTAGGTAGAGATGGGAATATACATATAAGGATCACTCCCCTGGACGATTTGGGATGTCACAACCACAACTGCTCAGTATTGGTGAAAAATTAAGGGCCAATTATATTTTGTACCTAATTTGAGATTGTTTTTAAAATAGACCATCAGGTTTAATTTTCTCACATTACGCTTTAAGATTTTGAAATTGTATCAATTCGTACATTTTGTCTCTTGGAATATCGAATCCTCCATAAGGATCTCATGCTCACTATGTCAATGTGGTACAACCATACAAATGTGGCTTATATATTAGCTCATATAAGGATCTCATGCTCATTATGTCATAACGATGGATTAAACAATCAATCTGAATCAAAAGCATAATTGATATATTTTCAATAGTTTATAGTGCAAAAAGAAAAAATTAAAACTTTCATCAAACATGAAGGGAATAATATATATTTAACTCTAAAACTAATTCACAAGAACGTAGATGACTAAGAGCTTGTTTGGTATCATACTAAAAATTATCATCATTTCTAAAACTATTTCTTAAAAGCATGTCTCGAGAATAATTTTTCAGAAGACTCAAAAACTTATTTGGTATGAAATAATTTGTTGATCTCAAATTGCAATAGATTGGGATGCCAAACCTAGACCTATAAGCTTCATGGTCTTGGTCAGGTAAGTGACCTCCATTCGCGGCTCCCTTCCTCACCTTCTCTACGCCGGCGTTGACACCTTCCACGCCAGAAAACCCCTTCCCCTTCCATTGATCTCCCCAATTCCTCTAAGCTCTAATCCACATTTAGCCAAGCAGATTCTTTACTTCACCACCATATCTAACAGAGCCCAGCACCACACGGCGAAGAGAGAGACGAGAGGTTGAGCGAGAAAGGCATAGTGGGAAAAACCACTGAGTTTGTTTTGAAAACTGCGTTATCCAGAGTTTAAAAATTTTAAAACCTGACTTTTTGTGTTTCTAAGCCAATGAGCTATATATTGACCCAAAAAAAAAGCTAATGAGCTATAGGCAATTTTCCTTTTGTTATTTTTTAGATCATTTTTTTAAATCATCAACCAATCAAGAATAATTTTTTTTTTTTTGGACATTGGGTTGCGAGTTTTATTACCAACAACACACATTTATAAGAGAGAAACCCACATATAAAGCAAACACAACAACAAAGTATGGACCTCCAAAGTACCACAAAACCAAGCCCAACAGAAAAACAGAAAAAAAAATAAAAAAAAAACCCTAAGAGCCTGCATCCTCTGCCACTGCTGCCATCAGGACCACCACCAAACTCAAAACAGTGGCCTGAAATCAATCCAAATCGAGCTCCCAAAAGGAATAAAAAGAAAACTTCAACAATTTCCAAAGAGCACATCGAATATCGGCACCATGAATCAAAGGAAGCTCGTAGGAAACAATCCACGAATGACAGAGACAACAAGGCCAAGTTGAGGCAAGAAGGTGGTGAGAACACCCAAGCATCGATAAAATCCGAAGCTCTACCCATCTTCCTCCTAAACGAGAATCGTGACGCGTTCACGGTGGTGATTAGTGGAACCCGATTTAAAGTGTGAGATCAATGGAGGAGTGAGCCAAGTGGAAAGGGTAGGGTGTGGAGTGTTGGAAATAAAAGAGGTCGAGGGAAACGTATGTGAAGGAGGGGGAGTTGGTGAAGTGAAATTAGAGGCACTAGAGAAAAGAGGAGATGGTTGAACCAACAAACATGTAAAGGAAAAAACAAGCAGGAACAAAAGGAAAGAAAATAAAAACAACAGGAGCAAAGGGCTATCACCAACCCTAACCAGAGAGGAGAAGAATAGAGATGGAAACCCCCACCAAGGGGGGAAGAACCCTCACAAAAGGAGAGAAGCTCTCTCGCTTTTTAACAAGAATTATTAGTTTGTGATTCAAAAATCGTTTTCTAGTATAAAAAGTTGAATCCAAGTAAAGTACCAAAAAGGTTAGATTTTGATGCATGACTTCCATGACTACATATAAAATATTTTGATGATCAATAGGCATCTGTCTGGGTGGTGTAGTCGGTTATCACGCTAGTCTCACACACTAGAGGTCCCCGGTTCGAACCCGGGCTCAGACACTTTTTTTAAATTTATTTTATAATTATTTTTTCAATTCCTCATATATGGGCCTAAACTTGGCCCAATCAAACACAAGCCCATCCGCAAAGCAGCTCACGTGGTATCGATGATCCAGTCACGTGCAACAGGTGGAAAGCAAAGCAAACGCGCGTAGAGAAACGCGTGGAGGGAAGTTAATAACGGCCAGTCGTCTTGTCCTCTGCGTTCCTTCCAAATTACGAAAAGCAACGTCTTTTCTAGGACTCGCCTCTCCGACTCAGTTTCAGCTCCCGACTCGAATCCCTCGAACTTGGAATCTCAAGCCCAGCGACTCTCTGAGCCTCAAAACGAAGCGTTTTGGTTTCCGTCTCAAATGGACGAGTCCTACGCTGGCCTCCCCACCAGCCACTTGCTCGGCTCCGTCCCTGTAAGTTCTCCGATCGATTTTACTTTTGATTTTTGTGTAATTTTTTCCCCAATTCGCGAATCATCGAATCGGACTTGTAGGGTTGTACATGGCTGATTGGGTGTATCTAGATTCGCTTTGCATGAGTGTAATTTGTAAGCCAAGTGATCTTGGAGTCTGTTTGTTTCCCTAGAAAATTAGAAGTGAAGGAAAAGAAAATTTGGGAGGTCCGGATAATCAGTGGTTTCGACATTTTTTGATTAAATTTTTGCCCCTTTTCTGAGCTGCCAATATGTAGCTTAGAATTTGAGGAATTTCTTACAATTAGTTATAATTTCTTGATGCATTTCCATTTTTAAATATAACTAATTTCCAATTTAAGCAACCATTCTCTAACTAGTAGTTGCGATTTTTAATTATAATTATCATGAATTATTTTAGGAAATTAGGATATGATCCCATAAAGCTAGTTTCTTACAATTGTGAAAGAAGCTGAATTGTTTGGTAAGCTTTTATCTGTGGAACTATTTCTGTGCGGAATCCCTCGAAGCGTTTCGGGATTGTGTCCTTTTGAACTAGATTATTTAACTATCCACATTCTACAAACTTGCTAGATATGTGCTTACACTAAGTTTCTCTAAGTAGTAGTTGTTTTCCCTCAAAATGTTGAATAAATCACATATCTTTGCATTACCTTCTCTCTTTTTTTGGCCTTTTGGGTTTGATAGGCTGTTACTGAAGATAAAGAAAAGGGTACCACAAGTTATGAAGGTATTATACTTGCTCGCCGTGTTTTAAATTGTTTTCTATTTTCTTCTTCAAAGTAAAGGTTCACCAGAATCATTATTTACTTCCTGCTTTAAAGAATTTTCTCTAAACTCGTGCAGCACCTGAAGCGAACTTGCAAATCTTCCCCCCAAATAATAATCGAGGAGAGAAAGGGGGCGGTTATCAAACTGTTGGAAGTACAAGTGGTATAGCATTCAAATGGCAATTTACATTCAAGTGCATTATATGGAGATTTAGTTTTTAAGAAAACAGCAAAACTTAGTCAACCAATCATCCTCATTTATTTTCTGGTGAATTTTGTATTTTGGTTGATTTTTAGGGACGCTAGAACAAATGTGTAACATACTAGAATAGACTGGAGTGTCAATTTGAGTGCTATAAAAGCATGAAACCTAATTAATTTTCAGCGGAACAAAATCTGGAGTTATTTTCTATATCCTAAACTGCACCCCGTTTGTGGGGAGTGCAGGACGATTTGAACCTCCTTCCACCCCTAGTTGAGTTTTTCATTGCAGATTGATGTTAATGTTTGTGTCTTTGTGACACTGCACATGATTTTTTATGTACATGATCAAAGTTATTATGCTTTCTTATGACTGATTGAAACAGTTCTGGCATGTTATCTTCCCCAAGATATTTTCTTCTCTTTCTATGTTTATTTAATCTGCCTTTTTTGTTTCTCTTAACTCTGTAAATTCTCTTTATAGATTTCATTTGCAAATTGCAATGCTGGCTACTTTATTTACTTTGTATCTAATTATCTCTTCTTCTGTCTATCCACGCAGAAACATTTGAGCAACAACCAGCCAACAACTGGAGGGGAGTATTTAATATCGCATCATACACACAATATTTCAATGTGGATACAGACGTCGTCTTAAACAGAATGCTTAGTTCTCTATATCCCCATAATGGAGATTTTTTCAGCAAAATTGATGCCAACCCTGATCTGTGAGTTTCTGGTCTTTACTTCCAATATTTCTTTATCTTTTGTTTCTTGTACAGGTTTTTTCACTTCTATATTAAAAAAGAAAGAACCATGAGCCTCAGTTTCTTTGAAGAGTTTGATATTCTCATGTAGGCTTTTGAATGGAGTTTGCTGTCACTCTTATGCTTTATTCAGTTTTAAAATCTGGTAACATTATGTCAGACTGTGTCTTGTATAAATTGAGAAATACATACACAACGTCCTCTTCTGTAACATCGCAAGCTTGGATTTTGAGTTTTAAGTTTGCATTGTCTCATCAGAAAAAGTTATGTAATCACATGAAGGAAATTGTGCAAAGGCTAATCTCAAGGCAATATGTTTTTGTATTGGCAAAGAAATGAGTGAACGTGAACATCTAACATTTCGCTTTCTTCGTGTGAGTTTCTGTAATGTGTAGATATGGGCTAGTCTGGATTTCCACTACGTTAGTGTTTGTGCTTGCTGCACTTGGAAACTGTGCCACCTACCTCATGGACAAGCGCACTGATAGCAGTACTGCTTGGGATTTTAATGTCAGTTATATGAATATGGCAGCCTTTTCAGTCTACGGTTATGCAATTTTGGTGCCATTGGCATTCTATTTCTTGATACAGTATATGGGCACCTCAAATGCCAGCCTAGTTCGGTTTTGGTGTATGTGGGGATACTCTCTCTTCATTTTCATTGCAGCCTCTGTAAGTACCTGCCTCCCCTGCCTTTTGTTAGTTTTTGTGTATTGCTTTTTCCCCTCCTTTTTTGACTCTCCGTTGGAATATTGATAATCATTGAAAGGCCAAAAGCAGAAATAAGTAATCTTCCTTGGGATGAGTTGCAAATGCTCTCTCGATAATATTCAAATATTTGTGCTGAACTGGACTAGTCCAAATTTCTTTTAAGCTCAAATTGATCTGTTTAGGCTAAAACGTTTCAACTTCCTGGTTCTTGGGGATATTGAGCGCTGATTAATTGACATTTTGGGAAATGATGTTCGGCAGGGGAATTTCTTCCTGCCAGGCACGTGTATTCATTTTCAAGCAGAACACTGTGTTTTAGCTGGAACGTTATTAGCTAATATCTTACAATTTATTATTCTGTCATCTGATACTAATTAATATCATACAATCTATTATTCTGTCATCTGATACTATTTCACTGGAACATTTTCAGTTTCTGTTGCTTATCCCAGTTGAGGCTCTTCGGTGGATCATTATTCTTCTTGTTGGTGGGTACTCTGCTTGCTTTGTTGCCTTTAATCTCAGGTCCAATATGGAGGGGAATGAACTTTCAGTTGTATTGATCGCTGCATTTCTCTTGCAACTGGCTCTGGCAATCTTCTTTAAGGTCTACTTCTTTCCATAAGCGTTACTAAGTGCGGTCAGTCTCCGAATTATGAACCTCAACCAACTGTGTTTACTTGATTTGGGGTATTTATTTTTGACGTTGGCCGGAGTAGTACTTCTCTAGGGTTGGGATTTTCCTGTGTGTTCATATCCGCTAATTACTCACTTGGTTGTATTGGAGTTGAATGAAGAGCGAGTGCCGCTGCGCGGATTAAATTCTTTGGAAGAGAGAAACTTTGGCCCTGATGAGTAGGACTAACCTTGTATTATCTGCTTTTGTATTGGCTTAAGTAAGATCATAAATCGGTGTTTGTGTTTCACGTTTTCCCCTTGATCTTATAATTTTCCCCTTCAAACCTGAGTTTGTAAATAAATGTCTTCGGAGGGGTTATTATGGTATTTACACTTTAACTTGATTTCTTATCCGTTCTTCAGAAAATGACCCTGATTTATTATTGGGAAATTGGTTGAAATGATTAATTTACAAATCTTAATTACTGAAATGACGACATATTGATTAAATATAGACGAGATATTGAATTACTTATCATGATATATCGATTGAAAAGTAATCATTTCAGCAATAAGATTTGTAACTTTATCATTTCAGCCAATTTTTCTTTGTATTTATTTGGCTCCTCACAAAGTAAGCCCCGCCATTCTCCAAATTTTTGGACGTATCGAATGAATTGAAGAATATCAATAATAAAAAAAAAATAACAAGAATGCGTGGAAGGTAAAAATCGGTCTATGAATAGTACTATCATACTAAGTAACACTGTAAAATGATTTACACACTTGTTTTTCTCCTTTAACCCTTCCCTTTTGTTTACATCTATTGATTCTCTTTTGATTTATTAAATTCAATGATGATAGAAAAAGAACGGAGTGCATTTGAAAGAAATGAAATACGGAAATCACTTCCCTCAAGGACTTATCTTTCTTTTGAGAAAACCGGACGAATATACGTCACACATACACAAACACATCCACATCCACATTGCCACTCCGCCAGACGATCATGAACCCACAATACAGTTCGTTAAATGGTTGGTAAACTTTGCTGTCCTTGAATCTTTGAGACGTGCCACCATCTAACGCATGACCTTTACGGCTAATTACATGACACATAAACAAAAGTCATGAGGACTGAGCAACCTTTGGTGAATCGAAGCAGACAGGTTCGCAACAGATGCAGCTCCAACTGCTGTTTGCCTTTCCCTGTCGTCTCTGCACTGCAAAGATATTAAACCCCTTTTAAAACTGTTACATGTTTGTTTGGATTTGAGAGAGGATACTTTTTGTGAGGATCTCGGGAATCCTTCAATCACATCCGTTTATCGTGTCTCATGCGGTTAATTTTCGTCAAATATTGTTTATATTTAATTTTAAATAAAAAAATTACAATAATTTATAACCGCACAATATACGATGAACGGATGTAATTTAAAGATATTGGTTTGATTGGTACACAGTTACTTACACATGGTTGGTGTCAGTTTCGTTGAGATCACGAACTCGGTACTCGTTTTGGTGGAGACAACTTTTCTCTAGTGTCAATGAGAGAACCCACTTTTCATGACTTTGTTTTAATGAGTAAAACGAGGGAAGTGTTTTGTGGGTGATAGATGTTTTAGATGTGAATTAGGGAGTGTTTTTTTTAGAACGGTTGGTATTTATTTCATTCTGTATCTGCCAGAAGAGAAACTGTTAATTGTTCGGGATAAGGAGAGAAATTTTAGTAGGATAATCTGACCAGCCACATGATCAAGTCAATCTTAATCATTTTGATATTTTTCATCGTTAGAGGGTTAAATAGTTAATTGTTAGAGAAAAGAAGCATCGGTGGGGATCAAACGACGTTAAAATGCATAAACATGATTGCTTTTCGCTACTGCAATAAAGCGTCATCTACGTAGTGTTTGATTTAAAAGAAATGAAACTTTATGAATGTGCGCTTCTATGCAATTAAGTAATAACGACCTATTTAGTGTGTTGAAGCAAAAGAGTCTAGTTTTTATAATTTTTGCAAGGTTCTTGAAATCTTAGAGACAATTTTACTCCACGTGGCAATTATTGAAATCAAACAGTACATAACAGTAAACTCATTCCATATAAATTAATACTGGACATACCAAACTTGATAGTTTTTACAAATAAAGAGAAATATTATTACATTAGAATATTAACTGGAATGCTTTGAAATAGGAATGAGGATGTTGGGGATCCTTAAATCGTATCAATTCATCATATATCATACATCTAGAAATCATTTTAAATATTTTTATTTAAAATTAAATATGAACAGTACTTGACAAAAACTGATTACACGATATATGATATACGAACCCAATTTAAGAACCTATAAAATTCTCACAAAAAGAATTCAAACAGCATCGTCATTCTGGAAATAGAACAATATTAATCACCTTTAGTAATACACTTTTGCCTGCAACACCGAGAACCGCACGAAATGTGGATCTAATCACAGTGCCATCTTTGGCGTACTCGTCATTTTTTGTCGTCTTGTCCATGCCTCCTGCCGTACTCGTCATCTTTTGTCGTCTTGTCCACGCCTCCTGCCCGCCTCCCCATGCGGCCATACGCCGCTTAATTTTTTACGCTCACAAACCCTAGACCCTGCACCTCACCACTCAGAAACCGACACATCTCTCTGTTCTAGTCGAACTTCCCATACCACCCCTCATCCACCATCCCACGACGTCGTCTCTTTGGCGGCAGCGAAAGCTGTTAGGGGCTGAGGGTTGACTATTTGACTTCCTCCCCAACTCTACCTGCTCACTGTAGAAGGAATTTTAACCAAAAAAAAACTTACAGTAGTGTTTATTTTAACAAAAAAAATATTATAGTTTTATCACTGTTCCCCCACCTAGCACCGTTTAGGCGCTAGGTGGTTGATTATCGTCCCGATTAATACCTAAACATTTGAAAATTAAGAGAGGGGCCTAGACCTACTGAGTCACCAGCCTAGCCCACCAAGACCCGTCTAGATTGTAATTCGCTTAAACAGAAAATAAACAACTTTCATTTTGCATTTTATTTTTTTAAATAAATTGTAAGAGACTTGTAAAATACTTAAATGAACACACATTATACGCTTGTTTTTTATGTTTTCATTATATTCTAATAGCTCATAATATATATGTCATTATATTTTGTAGTTTATAATAAAATTATATATATTTTAAGTATAAATAAACACTTATTTATACGAAATATAATAGACCATGCCTAGCCGCCTAGGTTTTAGGCCCCAACCCCCTGCTTAACTAGCGCCTAACGTCTCTTAGAACTTTGATGTTTAGACTAAAAAATTAATCCAGTACTATTCACTTTATCTTTATTTTAACTTTATCGTTAAACCTTAAAATTTCCAAAATCATTTTGATTAGTTTCCTTCCTATATAAATATCCTCCCGGCAACGTCTGCATCCCAAAATAACTCTTTCAGATAGCCGAAAAAAAGGGGGAACCGCGCGCTTCCGAGCCGCCTCGTTCTCAGGACTGAGTTTTGACTCGCCGCCGCCGACCTTCACGAGTCAGAAATGGAGGAAGTGGATAGCTCTCGAGGTTTCCTCAAAGACGTTAAGCGCCTCGTTCTCAAGGTACATATTTTCCCGCATTAATCTCTCTCTCTCTCTCTCTCTCTCTAAGCTCCTCCATTTCTGAATTAATTTTTTTTGTCTTTTTCGAAAAATTGGTAATTTTATTTCCATTTCAACTAAAATGGAGCTTCAAATGAGCTTGTTTTTGGCAAATTTGAAGTCTTTTTGGTAGATATTTATTGAAATTTTAGTTCCCCCAAACATTTGGAGCAGAAAATTTGATATCTTCAGAGTTTTGGTAATGTGATTAGTAATGTGATAAATGTTTCTTGATGTTTTGGTTGGATTAATGAAGGTTGGGACTGCTGTTGTGACTCGAAACGACGGAAGAATAGCTCTTGGAAGATTAGGCGCGCTCTGTGAGCAGGTATGATAATCGAGCAGCAGTGCACTTTGATTTACCTTTTTATTATTTTGTTTACCATTTATTGATTGCTTATGCGATTGGGCGTTTTGCGGGTTGGAATTTGTTAAATTGATACGAAATGCAGCTTAAGGAGTTGAACTCTCAAGGATATGAGATTATACTGGTGTCATCTGGTGCTGTGGGCCTCGGCCGTCAGCGGCTCAGATACCGGAAATTAGTTAACAGCAGGTTCCTATCGTGTCCTTAGCTACTGACATTGCTGCCATTTGTTTGGATAACTTTAAAGACATGTTCTTTAGAGGCTCTTATGTCCGAAAAAATTTCGATTCTAATTGATAGTTATTCAATTGCTGCAGCTTTGCTGATCTCCAGAAACCACAAGTTGAACTTGACGGGAAGGCGTGTGCAGCTGTTGGACAGAACTGTCTGATGGCTCTCTACGATACGTTGTTTAGTCAGGTGAATGCTAAGATCCTTTCTTAAATCTGTTCTCAAGCTTTATCGAACCCTTGATTTGAACTTGACGTTTGGTTATTTAAGTTCTTACAAGCAATGCTGGATCTTAAGATATATGAGTTTTCTAATTAATTCCCCATTCAATTCAGTTTTTCTTTTGCATTTTCCTAACCCTCATTTGTTCTCCCTTGCAGTTGGACGTGTCGTCAGCTCAGCTTCTTGTAACAGATAACGATTTTAGGGATAGAGATTTTAGAAAGCAACTAGGTGAAACTATGAAATCGTTGTTATCTCTGAAGGTTGTTCCTATATTTAATGAAAACGACGCAGTCAGTACGAGGAAAGCTCCATATGAGGTATAATACTCTTCTATGATTGGTGTGCGATATCACTTGGTTGTGGTAATGGTATTCTATGGGCAGGACTGTCACAATCTTGGCCTTGCCACTACGGATTACGAAGAAAGAAAAGAAATATTGGGACTACTTGAACACAATATGTTACATACACTATCTCATACTTATTTTCCTTTTCAAAACACCAAGGAACTCAAATGTTTTTGCACGGTATGTGTTCCACTCATTGCAGGATTCTTCTGGTATATTTTGGGATAATGACAGTTTGGCAGCTCTGCTGGCTTTGGAGCTAAAGGCTGATCTTCTTATTCTTTTGAGTGACGTTGATGGTCTATACAGTGGGCCTCCAAGTGACCCCCGTTCAAAGCTTATCCATACATATGTAAAGGAGAAGCATCAGACTGAAATTACTTTCGGAGACAAATCTAGAGTGGGAAGAGGGGGTATGACTGCTAAAGTAAAAGCTGCTGTTAATGCAGCTTATGCTGGCATCCCTGTTGTTATCACAAGGTGTGTTTTAATACGTGGTTGTGTCAGGAGTGCTAAACTATGTTATTCTGTTGTGTCAGTTTAACTATATAATTTTATGTTATATTTTTAAGATTCCGTTA